GACAACAGCACTCTTCGCGGCTCCTGCCGGCTCTATACTGACCCTGTTTCACACGCAATATTTTCCTTATTCAGTCGCTAACACACCTTTTGTATCCCACTATGAAGAACGTCAACATTTCCACCAAAACCCCGAAAAAATCATCATTTTATAGACGAAACAATAAAATATTTCAAACAATTTGTTTTGCTTTTGGCAACGCATGCGCAGTTCGGTCGACATACAGTTTTCTGTATGTCTGAGATGGATTATCCCAGAGCCATGAAGAGCCAGACAGCTCCAGATTGGCAGCTCCAGATTGGCGAATCTGGAGCCAGCTGCAGATACAATTTCAATATGGAGCTGGAACGACTAGTTTGTAAACAAACTGCTTTGGCCGCTTAACTACCGATGGATATTCAATTTTTTTGAAAGACCATTTTTTCTTGTCATATTCCTTAGTACGTGATGGAAAATGAAAACATTATTCCGTTCCGTTCGTCCATGGTAGCTTCTGAAAGATCACTGTTTTTTCTGACAAAGGGAATGGTCAGCGGTCGGATAGATCCCAAAGCTCGTTTAAAACCTTATTTTGTTACCTTTATAATGAAAAACTCAAAAATTTGATCGATGACCATTCTGGAGAATGTATTCAAAAATCATTTCATGCGGTCAACTTATTTCCACGTCGCGAAACCGCGATAAATAACTCGCGCAAAGTCGAACTGTCTAATTTCGCGCACGGCCCGGCTGTGTTAATTTTATCCTTCCGTGAATACAGCAACTTTGGTATCCGTAAATTTACGCTTTCGAGGAATAAGAAATTGATATTTTGATGACATAATATCATTTGTTGCGCTTTTCTGAAGAACTAACGATATAAACATGTTTAATATCCGAAACACACAACGAAAAGGAGATCGCTGAAAACGGTGTTATTATGCGGCTCAAGTCGTCGAAAGGCCATAACATGTCAAATACGTCTAGCATCGTCTAAATTGCTTCGCAAATTTCTTGCTAATTTCGCCCTGCCACGAATTTCTAAAAGATGACCCTTCTAGACTAATATTCTTACTATCATATTTTACAGCGTTTGAAGCTTTAGGATACATATCCACCATGAGTAACTCATGAAAACACTAGCATTCGTTACCGAGATGAGAAATTAACTTTCAAGAGATGTGAAATATTAAACGTAAACAATAAAGTACGCCATCATGCCGGGCATTTGATAATCTCAGGGGAAAACCGTATTAACTATAAGTCGGCATTCAAATGCAATGAGGACATGGCAAGGTATTTATTAAAGAGTGCCGAGGAATAGGTTTATAGGGACAAGGCAATTTTCCTTGTTTAGGTATGCGCTGTATTTTTTTAATACATGAGAAAACACGACGCTTTTTCACAAAGATAAAATATTTTTAAAGCATGCGTAGGTTTGAATTTGCGATTGCGCTGATTATGTTAATATGGAATGCTTAAAACACACACCCTCCTATTAATTAACTTATACGGGCAAAAACGATGTTTTTAGCTTATGTGTTGAAAAAAGAATACAGCGTCAGTATAAACCTATGCATGTAAGTAATATAGTGCATATAGTTAATACGGTTTTCCCCTGAGATTATTAAATGTCTTGCACGTGCCAGATAACACGGAATATTGTTTAGGTGTAATATTTCACATCTCTTGAAAGTTGATTTCTCATCTCGGTAACGAATGTTGGTGTTTTCATGAGTTGCTCATGGTGGATATGCATCCTAAAGTTTCAAATGCTATAAAATATGATAGTATGATTATTACTCTAGAAGGGTCATCTTTTAGAAATTCGTGGTAGGGCGAAATTAGCAAGAAATTTGCGAAGCAATTTAGACGATGCTAGACGTATTTGACATGTTATGGCCTTTCGACGACTTGAGCCGCATAATAACACCGTTTTCAGCGATCTCCTTTTCGTTGTGTGTTTCGGATATTAAACATGTTTATAGCGTTAGTTCTTCAGAAAAGCGCAACAAATGATATTATGTCATCAAAATATCAATTTATTACTCCTCGAAAGCGTAAATTTACGCCAGTACCAAAGTTGCTGTATTCACGGAAGGATAAAATTAACACAGCCTGGCCGTGCGCGAAATTAGACAGTTCGACTTTGCGCGAGTTATTTATCGCGGTCTCGCGACGTGGAAATAAGTTGACCGCATGAAATTACTTTTGAACACATTCTCCAGAACGGTCATCGATCAAATTTTTAAGTTTTTCATTATGAAGGTAACAAAATAAGGTTTTAAACGAGCTTTGCGATCTATCCGACCGCTGACCATTCCCTTTGTCAAAAAAACCAGTGATCTTTCAGAAGCTACCATGGACGAACGGAACGGAATAATGTTTTCATTTTCCTTCACGTACTAAGGAATATGACAAGAAAAAAATGGTCTTTCAAAAAAATTGAGTATCCATCGGTAGTTAAGCGGTCAAAGCAGTTTGTTTACAAACTAGTCGTTCCAGCTCCATATTGAAATTGTATCTGGAGCTGGCTCCAGATTCGCCAATCTGGAGCTGCCAATCTGGAGCTGTCTGGCTCGTCATCCCAGAGCCTTCGTTTCCTTCCAAAGGATCGCAGGCTCGGGGAACGAGATTGCGGAAAGACCCTGGTGCCGGCTGGTCACGTGGCTCCCAGGATATTAAATTACCAAGGGAGGGATGGACAAATCTAAATTACAATGCTTCCACTTTCCAATAGTAAAATTCGTTGGCAAGGAGCGGACGTATTGGTTTGAATTGCAAAAAGTGTAATTTGAGAGCACTTTGTATCGCAATTTGTTATTGTATAATTTGTATTGAATACTTCGTGTCAAGTTGACAATTATGCGCGCGTTTGTGTTCTTTTTGTCATTCACATGCAGCCAGGCCATAGAAGCAAAGTTGATAATTTCAACGGAGACTCGAACGGAGATGCTCGAGTTTCATTGCATTTCTTGCTTGTTTGGAATTCGTTGTTCTAAATAGTGCATTTCATAACAACATACTGTACTGAAGACGAACCAACTAAGCAAGTTCTTTGTTTAGAAAGTATTTATTTATTTATTTATTCAATTTCGCCAGGTTTCACACGATTGATAACATTGTGTTCAAACTTCGACAAGAGTTGCAATTTAAACATACAGATCTCCGTGTTCTTGGGTCCTGCATCAAAACAACTGTACAGGGCTTTCAAATAATACTGTCGTAAAGCACACGAGCAAATTTTATTTTGACAAATTTTATTTGATCAAATGCAAATGATCAAAAGCTAGCATGCTAGCTTGCTAGCTTTTGTTCAAATGCATTTGTCACAATAAATTTGTCACAAATTTATCATCTACACGAGCAGAATATCTTTGACATTCAATTTGCCCGTGTAAACGGGCCTTAACAAACTCTTAAATGTACTTAAACATATATTATTTATTCGACAAAAGATGTTATTTATATAATTTGTATCCTGCCAACGCAACGCTTTATATGGAAAGTCTCTGATTTTCATCTGACCCATTGTTGTTGTTTGCAAGGGATCATATTTAATAAACAAGTCGATTTTCTTTCTCCATGGAAATCATTTGAGATATCTACTCAGGACGGTTCGTGTATTGTTATAGTTGTGTCTCCCTTGAATTCACTGATACAAGATCAAATATCTCGACTGAAATCAAGTGGCCTTCGCGCGTCTGCCATTCTATAAATATTCGCAAAAAATATTCCATGGAGAAATCACAATGGATTGTACATTTTGGGTTTAAATGGGGATTACTAACATACGTATACGGATGACTATATTATTAATTGCGGTAAAGTATATTGGTAGATGATATTCATAAACAATTGACTTACTTCTGTTGACATGGGTAAAGGTGTAGCAGATCTAGTTTCATCACTCGAGGAGGACACATTGACAAAGTCAGTTAAGTGTAAAAGCCAAACTGCGGCTTCGACTTTCAACTGCAGCAACATTTGCCGAAGATCTGGCAACGGATAGAAAAACTTCAGGGTATCGCTTGGATCGTGAATCTTTTACTAATGATTTCTGTGTTTCGGAAATTACATTCTTGAACGTCGTTCACAAGGACGGCACTCGATCGGCAGATCAAATAAGGAAAATCATCAACATGCGGCAGTCTCTCGCCATGAATCAACTCCGTGTTAATCAAAATTCTTTAATTTGTTTTGTTGAAGAGATTCTTACGATGTATCTGATCTTGTACACCATTATATAATCGACAACGAAAACTAGTTGATCAGTTGATCCAGGAGATCTTTTTGTAAAATTTCTTTGGCGTGCTTTTGCTAAGCCGATATAGTGACAGTGAAACATGAGATATTTGTAATCCTGGAGAGTAATATGATACTCTTTCGGCTGCAACACATGATTAATCAGTGTTGTTTTAACATTTCTTCAAGAAAAAATCTTTTATTATTGTCTCGTACAGTTAGAATTTTACTATTTTACAAATTCAGAAACAATTTCAATACGTACAAATCATTTCTACCCCCCCTCCCTGAATAGCAATTTAGATTTGTCCATCCCTCCCTTGGTAATTTAATATCCTGGGAGCCACGTGACCAGCCGGCACCAGGGTCTTTCCGCAGCTTGGGGCGTGCGAAGGTAAGAGCCTGGGTACGAGGTTGCTGGGGCTGGTTGTATAAAAAAGTGATTAAAGTTAACTATAGTTAGTGGAAATGTCATCCAATAAGAAGCGCGTATTTGAGAGTCAATCACTATTTAACTGAAATTTGGATAAAACAACCACTCGTGAGTTTTTGAAAGAGCTCAAATAGCACTCATCGTTAGGACTCGTGCTATTTTGATGCTCTTTGAAAAACTCACTCGTGCATGTTTTATCCAAATTGCACTCGAAACCATGTCGGTGAATAATGCAAGGATATTCAACTTGAACAGACAGATTTAGATCGAGGACGTGAAAACGGCGTGGCATATCCATATGGGCACAACCAGGCCCAGGGCTGGCACAACACGCCATTTTCACGTCGTCTTTGACGTCCGCGTCCTCGATCTAAATCTGTCTAATATCCTTGCACTATTCACCTCCACTTCGGTGACTAATTGATAAATATTTAACCATTCCACTGAATAAATATTTAACCAATCCACCAGCGAGATCATTTACCTATAAGAAATGACTTCTGTTCATTTCGCACCCGTAGAAGAAAGGCGTGTTGCATTCTGCAATGAGAAGGGCTCGAATACTCGTTTCAAATGACGTACCTGCACGACCCGTTCTTCCAATCCTATGAGTATGTGTGGTAATGTCACGTGCAACATCGTAATTGATGACAGTTTTAATGGAAGGAATGTCCAGACCACGAGCTGGGAAATGCAAAGTACATGAGTGATAAGAAGATTGAAATGCATCCAAGCATGCACATACTGTGTATATCACGTTTACACGCTGCGAAGAAAATGAATTGTGGCGTCAGCAGTATTAGTAATTTTCATGCGCCAGAATACGAATCGTACACAAATCGTAGGTTTAAACCTACTTTACGAAACATTACTATCCAGCCCTTGCAAGTGACTTAACGTCTTATCTCGTTAAAGATTCTAGACAATTAATTAAAGCAATCTGAAAAAACGTAAACTTACCACTATACACACAACTGCATGGTGCTTACATCTCGGGAGCGGGCAGTGCCCACCAAAATGGAGGATGAACCGAGCGTGAGAAAGGTTAATTGTTTGACTCCCTCCACCTCCTGGGTGGCAAATGTTTAGCCGTCAAACTTTCTTAAGTTGACTTTGATAAAGCTCCAAATGATCACTTTCAATTAAATTGGCTTAATCCGAATTCAGAAAGGCCATTATCTGGGGAATCCAGACAGTGGTTTCCACTGCTGTCCAAAGTAATCAACATTATTTTTTCCACTCATGTATTTCTAAGGGTAACGTAATATTCCCGCGCGACTGCAAGATTTGAATGGACTTATAAACATAGTACTGTATTTTAACTTCACTAAATTCACTCTTGTTTATTGCAGTATACTTTCCCCGTGCAGTTTGCCACCCAAATATCAGGCGGACAAGGCCTGGTCGCATGGCGTCAAAAAGGCTAATTGCACGATGTATAAGCTATATAAACTGCAAGTCTGCAACCAATAAGAGAAATTCGATTTCTACAACAGGGACCTGACCTTTTTGGTTTGTGTATATCTGCATGCGTGTCCGTTTATATTTCAAAACTTTTAAAAATAAAACTTCTATTGGCCCAGACAAGATTGCTGAAAAAATATTTCCATATTTATCTCAATCTTATTAACATGCTGTTGGGAAGATTTCTTGAAGGATTTTCGTTGACCTATAATTAAGCTTATTATTAGCATGACAAAATTGAATTGAATGAGAAAATGATGCTGATTGGTTAAGACGAGTACAATTATTTCATTAATTGTACTGCAGTACAATTAATGATTTTCCCAAAACAAACAAAATGGCGGAAAGATGTTCTAATTTAAAGACAAACGTGAAATGAAATTGCCCTAGAGGAACAAGATGAAAACATGAACAAAAGCACCAAATTTTGCTTTAACAAAAGAACTAAATGAAAATACGAACAAAAGCACCAAATTTTGGTTGAAAGTCTGGCAGGACTGAGCTTTGGCGAGAGAATATGATGTTGACATTGAGAAGTATCCAATTTTGTCATGCTAATAATAAATTTGGCAAAATATCCAAACATCACTCGTACTATTAATCCCTAATTGTACGAGCAACATCGCATGATTACCTATACTAATCAGCTGTCGAAACAACCAGCCCTGCTCGGAAGCATGCAGTTTTACAATTCAACGGAGTGAATTTAACATTTCAACCTCCTGAATCTTACCTGCAACATCAGTTGCCACAAGGACCGGGACTTCCTTCTTCTTGAAAGATGCGATCACTTTGTTTCTTTCAAACTGATCCATATCACCATGGATTAAGAGCACTGCATAAAAATATTTGAAAATATTAGGTTGAACATAACATTCAACACAAACATAGAGCAGATCGTAAAGAGAAAATACAGTAATTAATGCGTGAATGCTCAGGAGATTTAAGGGGCATGCATGACGGAAAAGACGAGGTGCGAATTTCGTTGCACGGCGCTGGAGTCCATTGATATAACACATTTTGAAACTATATCTACGGTAAATGTTAAACAAGACATACATTCAAAATCGTTCTTCTTTAAATTTTGTGACAATTCTTCACTATTTAACTTTCTTGTTACGAAGATTAGCACGCTTCCCTCTGAAAAAATGTAAAGTATAAAAATTTAAATTTTACGACGATTAATAAATAGAAGTACGGTACTTCAGCTAAAACATGACAACCTGACATGTTGATCAACCTGCAAGAGTTAACCATTCTTACTAGTTGTGCATGAATAGTAAACTTACCTGAAGTAAAGCGTACAAGATTCGCTGTTAGCCATTGCCACTTTCTTGCGGCATCATTAAATATTTGTACAACTTGCGTAACATCTTCGTTTGCCTATAATAAAAATAGGTACGCTGGTTGTTGACCGACTTACAGCTCTTGTTGTATATAGTTACGCAGCAGTTTTTGTTGTTTTGATGGTGGTATTGGTGCTTAGTTGGCAACTTTGAAACTAGAAAATTCTTCTAAGTTTTATACCTTGTGTTACCATATACTGGTACACACCAATTACAAATCAGAACACAAATTAATCGTCTTTGCCCTGTCGCATTCCCACATGTGAGTGTAAGATTTGTTTTCCGACCAACTAAACGACGTTTCAGTTTTTCCAAAAAAAAATATAATTTCTGTTCATGTTTTTATCTTCGACTTCGTTCTTTCGGAATTATCTTTTCAAAAAAATTTTTTAACCAGTTTAAATATACAAAAAAATATTTGCTGACAATTGCTGGGAATTTTTTCATTTTGTTTTTATTCCCGTTACTGTCGTTCCAATTGAAGTGTTGCTCAAATATTGATTCAATACATTACCTCGGGCTGACCAATTCATTTCATCAAGTTCCTCGAGATATTCATACACTTCCTATAGTATAATTGTAAACTTCCTGTTGAATAGTTTGAATGCACCAATCACCTTTGTTGTTTGTGCAACTAACCAATCATAAATAGAAAGGAAGTGACCAGAAGTGATCAAGGAAGTGTATGAATATCTCGAGGAACTTGATCAAATGAATTGGTCAGCCCGAGGTAATGTATTGAATCAATATTTGAGCAACACTTCAACTGGAATGACAGTAAGGCTATAAAAAGCGAATAACTTGTTGTTTTCTCGTTCGCAAATCTCGTTCGGTAATTGTTGAGCCGCCATCTTGTTTTCTCTACTAGCAGGATATAAGCTTGTATCCATTTATCTTCTAGTAGAGAGCCAATCAGATTGCAGAATAGCTTATATCCGGTAGCTGTCTATATATAATATCATTTATCGCTCGATCAAATATATCTTGCGAATTATTTTGGTGGCTGTTAACATGCCTGTCTTGTTTCTACCAGATTATAAACGGGTCAAAGTCGCGACAACGTGTTGTGTTATGATGTTATCAACTTTAATTTATATATTGTTATATATTACAGTTGCTTTTAAAAAGTTTTGCAAGTGACAAAACTATCACAATATCGTTTACCAATGGCTACTTCATTGATTAAGTTGGTTAGGCAGGAATTCGTTTCTTCGACGAAAAAGAAAGCGTTAAAGCCGTTAGTTTCAATTCTTGGTCTCTGGGCATTGGAAAAGTTGTTGGAAAACTCGCGGTATTACAATTGCCCTGAAGAAGGTTATGGGTTGTATGGCGGGATGTTTTTATTTGGTCCAGCCTTGTGTTTATCCACGCTAACTTTGATGTTGAGCAAATCTTTTTGGGATTCATTAACAAGTTGTTCTCGAGGAAAGGTCGACCGCGTCGATGTATATCGGACGGTTTGTCACATCTTGATAAAGTCAGCATTGGTTGGATTCATGTGGCTTATACTTGCTTTTGCGACTACAGACTATTTTGTATGTTTTCGTCTTGGAGGTAACCAGGCTAAAAAGTCTAGAGATGCCATTAAAATGCAGAATCTATCATCAGTTTTAGCCTGGCTTATGCTTGTTATATCTATAGCACTGGCATTTCTTTATCATGCTATTGAGAAATGTTGTTTTTCCCACAGTCGAACATGTACAGGAACAATTCTTCGGGACTACGAAAGGATTGAAGCTGAAGCTGCAATTTCGACGTTTAAGAAAGAGGCTAAAGCTCTTGCAAAACGGGAAGGAGAGAGAAAGGTTAAAGCAATTCTTCAGGAGGTTAAAGATGGCAAGACTGCCTTGGAAGTTGTGGAAGAAGCTAAGAAATGGTTGATTGATATGTATTCACGGTCCAACAAAGTGAAGAAAGATGATCAAGTTAATTACGTACAGTTGGAGGAAACTGAAGTTGAAAAGTGTACGCCAGATAAAGAAGAAAACCTATTGGATACAGACAGCATGTGACATTGAAAGGCACTGAAAGCATTGTCTCAGTGCAGACACATTATCTGACATGCATGTACATTTTCTGTATTGACTGCAGTCTCAACTTAACATTACATTGCTTCGTCTGAATGCAACATTGTATAAGTGTTTAGCCCCTCCCTTACCCTGGTTCCAGAGATTCTTTGCCAGGCGAAATTAACGAGAGGTGAGAAGGAAGAGTCTCTGGTCACACTTCCACACTTGACTAGGTTCAGAATTTGAATCTCCCATGTGATTGGCCATTGGTAAAAATATGTCAAACCGGTTTGGGAAATAAACATTACTACAAGCTAATTATAGGCAATCGTAACTATATCATAAAACCTTTCCGAATATATGTTGGAGTGCTTGGAAAGACGGCGAATTAGCTTTTTGGCGAAATGATAATATTTCGCCAAATGTAATTTTTATTTACATTTGGCGATTTGGCGAACGAGAGCTTGAACCCCGCTGTAATTGTAAGACCTACCTCACCCAACTCTCCAACAACAATACGAACAGGATCAGTCAATATATCTCGACAAAGCATTTCAACTTTCTTCTTAAACGTTGCACTGAACAGTAAAGCTGTGAAAATAACACAAATATCTCATAAAGTTCATATATACAGACCAGTTGGTGTAGATCAAACGCTGGCAGCAACTACGTTTATATAGGTCATCATTGTTCTCGTACCAATAATGGATTCAATACCGATATTTTCTGTATATCGGTTTATATAATCGGACAATCCTGCACGGGAAATTTACAAGCCTTCCCGCGGGCTTTTTAAAATGTTAACATAATAATAAACGAGAGACAAGTTAACAAAAACGTTAATAAAGTTACATAATAAACATATTACAATAAAGTTAACCGTTTAAATAAAGTTTAAATATTAAATTTATAGCATTTTAATAAAGCTAACTGTTGTTTCACTGTATAGTTATTTTATACAACAATTACCAAATTGTTTTCCGTACAGGATAGCATCATCCATGCACTTGGAATGTTTCTCGACTTTCGAAAAGCGTAACAAATGCTCTCCTGCGGCTCGTGTTTTTACGCTTTCCGAAAGTCTCGCAACATCCCGCGTGCATGGATGACGCTATCCTGAACAGGAAACGATTTAGTATTCCTTTAATACCAAACAGCCCTAGCAAAAGCTAACAACTTGCTCTGTTTCATTGGAATGAAGTTGTTCACATTGGACATAACATTTTACGTGTAGTTCGTGTAATTCATTTGAGCTGAATTTAAATCTTTTGCATATACATAAAACAGTTTCAACGAGACACACCACTTGCTCATGCATGGTCTCAACAATTCATGCACATGCATATTCATGGCCTCAACAATACAAATACATATGTTGATATACATACAACAATATATACAACACATGGTTTTTAATACATGCATATATATTAGAGGCCGTTGAGTTCAGTGGCTGCGGTGTGAGAGAGATGTCGATACAACTACCTGAAAAATATAAGCAGAACTTCGACGTTTCGAGTGAAGGACTTCGGAAGTTCCCGACGAAGGGCCTTCGGCTTCGGAAGTTCCCGACGAAGGGCCTTCGGCTTCGCTCGACACGTCGAAGTTCTCTTTATATTTTCCTGGTAGTTGCACCGCAGCTGTCTGTTATCGTCTCTACTTACACTTGCACCGAGATTTTTTCACTGTTGAAATCAATAAACACTTCTTTTCATTTTCAAATATTGGCCAGGATTTATAGTATGCATGTATATATTTGCCATACGCCCATACCGAAAAAATTTGCCATACGCCCATAATTACACAATATTCAGTTTACTCTGATCGGCAAAGCAAGAGAAACTTTTGCTCATTTTTCATCCAATTGTCATCTAAATTTAACCACTTTGTCCTTGGCCAATGTTCATAGACCCACAGATTTTCATATTAATACGTTTGGTACTTTTAAGTTACTGCGCTGATAATAAGAACACAGGCAGGCAGGCAGGCAGACGGATGGACGGACGGACGGACAGACAAACGGACAGACAGACATAAGGGAAAAACGTGGATGAAAACCCAACCTCCTGGCGAAGTTAACAATTCACTTACTTTGTCTATCTGGTCGTATATGATTTGCAATAGAGCGAACCTGAGGTTCTAGAAAGAATGAAAGAGAATTGTGAGTGTGTTAAAATGTAGGGTGTAATTGGATTAATTACTAAACTGGAATTTATCAACAACTCACCAAACCCCATGTCAAACATCCTATCAGCTTCATCAAAAACCAGGAATGTGACACGTTCAAGATTTGTGGTTTTGTCTTTGATGTGGTCAATTAATCGACCCTGGAAATATTTAACAATGGAACTGAGAAGACATAAGATTTGCCCTGCACTATTGAAATACGAGCGAACTTAAGCATTTGAAGCGGCTTTAAAATCTAGTACGGGGACGAAGCCTTAAATATTACACTTCAGAAACTATATAAACTATCGCTATTAGGGACCTTATGCAAGAAGGACGCAAATGCATCTACGACGGCAATTAGTATAATGACAATCATAATATTGTAGAAAAGAAATGATTAATTAACATCTCATAAAATTATTAAATGTCGTCCTCGTTCTGTTTACAACGGCAAATCGCAGATTATTACGTCTTGTACCCAACGGCTATATAAATTTCAAGCTGGGAGAACGGTTATTTCAAATTGGATCCTAGAACTGTTTTCGACCATAAATCCTTGTCTTAACCTCGATCCTTAAACCGTATTAATTGCATACGATGGTTAATAGACGATAGGTTTTCCGTGTAATTATTTAGTTCAACAAGTTTGTTTGCCGCCGTGGTAGCATTCCCGTCCTATATATACGATTACGATTATAAACATTTCTATACCACAAATTTACATGTGGATATGATAAAATGCGCTTTACATCAAGTATTACGCTTATCTAATTATATACTTAACCCAGACTATTTTATCTTTACAACAATGGACCATTTGCATTATAGACTAAATTTTGATCTAGACAAAAATTTCATCACAGCTTGAAAGAGCATCACAAAATTAGTAATATTCCAAAGTTTCGTTGCGAAATGTTGTAAAATGCGGATAATATAGCCATGCGAAGTTTGCCGTTTTTCAGTCATTTTGCATTACGCACGGGAAATTGACAGCCCAATCGGGTGTTGGGCATCAATTTCCCGTTTGTAATACAAAATGACTGAAAATTGCAAATTTCGCAAGGCTATATTATCCGCATTTTACAACATTTCGCAACGAAACTTTGGAATATTACTAATTTTGTGATGCTCTTTCAAGCTGTGATGACATTTTTGTCTAGATCAAAATTTAGTCTATAATGCAAATGGTCCATTGTGATACTAATTTCCTAACTGTGTTTATCCTAACCCACCCTGTCAACTTTCCCTGTGGGAGGAAACCGGAGCACCCGGAACTATGAAGAGAATCGAACCCACAACCTCAGAGCAGGGTGTCCACCCTTTGGTGAAGGTGAAATTCAAGGACTTTTCCAGGACGTTCGAGGCCTTTTTTCAGTAAATTCAAGGACCCAGAGCTGGGAAAAATCTTTGAAAATGGCATGGATTTGCCGTAAATAATTCACTTTATTCAGTAATTTTAATCAAAATCACTAATGTTGGCACAGCTAGAGGTTAAGGAAATTAATTCCATGACTTTCAAGGACTTCTACTGGGAAGACCACGTAAATTTAATATTTGCGGAGCTTTCGATCCGTAAGCCCGGATCTTCATCAGTGATAACGAACTATATGTACAGTACTGATCTTACAAACTACATGTACGACACCATATGTGTCCGCACATTTGTAATTTGACCACAATCTAGGGAAACAAGATACAAAAACGTCACTTACTGGTGTTGCGACAACAATTTCTGGGCATTCTTTCAAAGCCTTTGATTGTTCATATTTGTTACCACCACCAAATACACACGCCACTCGAACGTTGTATACTTTTCCAAACTTCTTGGCTTCTAAATAGATCTGTTGTGAAAGTTCTCGTGTTGGTGCACATATTAATCCTATAGGACCATCACCTTCCTGCATTTCCCTCTGATCCATAATGTGTACCAGCATTGGCCACAAGAAAGCAGCAGTTTTACCTGAGCCAGTTTTAGCAATACCAAGTATGTCACGACCACTTATTGCTGCAGGAACAGCCTGGTAAGGAAATGACAGAAATGTTACAACAGTCATTTGTGGACATTTAACAATTGTTGAATTGATAATAGTCGAAGAAAACTCGTTTACATATAAGACGCGTTAACGGCCATTATGTTTATTTCTTGTTTTAGTTAACCTCAGTTCAATGATTGACCACCAGTTGAGTCAAATTATGCTAAAATAACACGGGATTAAACATTCCAGTGGTATTACGGCAACTATGCATCCCACAAAAAAATCTGCACCTTCTTGCGCGATAAGCCCAGATCCGTTCATGTTTCCAGAGGCACTGGAAAAAGCTCAGGGTAGTGGGCACTCTTTCCACCATCTTTAGTGTACGAAATGAAAATGTTCAAGATGATGAGTAGCAGCATTCTAGCCTCGGGTTGAGGCTAACATGTACCACTAAGCTTACATTTCCTGCGTTTTCGGATACGATTTTTTAATAAACATCGCATTGAATAAGCGTTGGTTACTTGTCGCAACAAATATTCTGAAACATTGTTTTTACGACTTTTTCCCACAAAAATATATACAATTGTAATACGAACCAATATGAGTATCATACTAAAAAGCAGACAAAGATTATATTTTGCAAAATTGTACTCACTTGACTTTGGATAGCAGTTGGTTTCGTGTATTCAGACTTCCTTATAGCACTAAGCAGAGCTTCATCGAAACAAAAATGAGCAAAACTAACAGCAGGACGTGGTGGTTGAGCTCCAGATACCTGAAACAAATATATTTATTATGTAGTTGTAATTTCTACGAATAGACCCTCCTAACCCTCCAAACATATCTGCATTAACGGAAGTAGCAGGTGACAGATAGGAGAACAGGCATAATGCCTCCACATACGACGTGAATATAGACGCCCTATCCCGACCACTATGATTATTATTATGATTATTCAGCTCACGCCCCATCGGGGCTATTCAGTGACCGATTACATCAAGTATTACGCTTACTTATATTACCTACTAAGCTTAGACTATTTATTTTTACAACAATTGTGATATTACTTTCTTAACTATGTTTATTCTAATTAACGGCAGAGTATCTGAGTTTGGAGGTAGGTGCCGTTGGTGGCCAAGTCTAGTCGGCGATCTAGCCTTGTCGGGCAAATGACCGAACCCACCCTGTCAACTTTCCCTATGGGAGGAAACCGACTTTCGACCAACGACTTTCGACAGAGCGTTGACCGACTCTTTTCACATCCACTATCAAGAGACTCTCCTTTGGCCAGTGGCATCAACCCACACACCACTTTCTAAACTCTTAAAAAAACTTTGTGGAAGATTTCTCGACATTCGCTCAATCTGAACAGAAAAAGTATGTATGTCCCTGTTTTGATTGAGTGTGGAGAAATATTCCATACATGTACATGAATCGTCGCGGCCAACGCTTCGGTTCTAAACTCGTTTCTATGCCTGCAATAAAAAGCAATCTATCTTCCTAACGACGCTAAAATGCCAATTTATAATTATAATTATATACTTACAGTACAAAAGAATATTTAGAATAGAATCTATCATGAAAGTTATCAATAACCCATCCCCGTTAAGTTCTCATACTCTACGCAACTTCCGTTAATGTCACAGATTTTAGCCTGCATGGAGTAATCTCTCTCTTACTTTCACTCCTAAACTCTGTCGCAATTTAATGACATCTTCCTCTGTTAGTTTTTTAATTTCTTCGTGCTCTTCATAAAAGTTCTTGGAAAATTTCTTATAATCAATCTAAAAAAGCGAAATACATGACATCAATAAACGCAGGTTATCTCACAAAAACGCGAGTATTGTCAACAATATACATACCTCAGAGTGATCAATAGGTGGCAGTGGCTCGATGATCTAACAATGAAAGAACATTAAGCTATCACAGTTTGTTTAAAAAAGAGGGAGTTTAGGATACCGATAACGAACAAAGGCTACGGACTAAGGTTAAATGTTTGTTTTCATATGGTTTTCACTGGGGCAAATAAAATTTACGTATTCCCTAGAGCATACTTTTCACCGTAGCGACCATGACTATACAACCTAACAACATGTTCTTGTGTTATAAAGATTCGCAGCACCGTTGCATGTTGAAGAGTAGTTTTGTAAAAAAGTGATGAGCTTTAAATATAAAACTTCCGGAACACAAAGCCAGGCAAATAATTTCTATTTAGGATAAATTTGTGATAATATATACATTGAGTATTTGCATACATATAAACACAAATATTTCAAACGTAGTCGGTAGTTTGTCGTTAAGATCTTAACCTCCCTAATAATCTGTAGGATATATCGTTTTAAATTCTTTCCTGGCTATAAGCCAAGCCTTGTGGTAAGGGAAACTGTGGAAACGTATCACAATTACGAGGTACTGTAATAAGATTGCCATGCTTATTGCCACCTGGATCATTAATACACTCAAGTATAACTCAAGCAAGCATGTACAGTAGATCTTGGAAGAGAAAAAAATTATAGACTATCATCAACATGTACCTTAGGATTATCATGATCACTGTTTTAGTGGTGCGCGGACGTTTGACCGACAGACATTTGGCCAGCCAATGAGTCATCGTTACCCGTGAGCATTATTTTGGAAAATAAACTTGAAAAAATCTTGTCGGTGAATTGTCCTGTCGGCCTAATGTCTTGTCGGCCAAATGTCCTGTCGGCTAAATGTCTTAATTGTCGGCCAAATGCCCTGTCGGCTAAATGTCTGACGGTGAAAGGTCCTGTCGGTCAAACGTCTGTCGGTCTAGTGTCTGTCGGCCAAACGTCCGGTCATGGTTTTTGTCTGTTTTGTACAATATATTATTGTGTGTAGTACTCCAGGGTGGGTCTAAAACTTTCTAATACACTCGAGCATGCATGTAGTTTACAGATGACTTTCAAGACTAGAATTACCATGTACCTTAGATCCCGATGGAGCAATAGGATCACTATGATCATTGTTACAATAGCCAATATATTTGTACTAAATATTGTGCGCAGTATTGCAGGGTACGTGGGTCTAAAACTTTCTAATACATTCGAGCGTGCATGTAGTTTATACAGATGACTTTCAAGACTAGAATTACCATGTACCTTAGATCCCGGTGGAACAATAGGATCACTATGATCATTGTTACAAGCTATAATATTTGTACGAAATATTGTGCGCAGTATTGCAGGGTGGGTCTAAAACTTTCTAATACATTCGAGCATGCATGTAGTTTACAGTAGATCTTCGAAGAACAATAATCTATATAGACTAGCATTAACATGTACTGTATCTCAGAACTTGGTGGAGCAATAGGATTGCCATGATCATTAATATAGTCTATATTTTGTACGATATTGTTGTAGTACTGCAGGGTGGATCTCGCGTGTACCTTACAGATGACTTTAAAAACTAGCACTATGTACCTTCGATCTTGGTGGAGCAATAGGATTGCCATCACTGTCATAGTCGATTTCTTCATCGTCATCAGGATAATATTCAAGTGGAACTTCCTTCATTACTCTGAAGAATGATTCCTGATCATCTTCATCTTCGATATCATCTCGTCGACTTCTAAACAGCAAGAAATTGAAATATTCCCATAAATGTATATGTACATGAAAATGATTCATGATGACTTTCAAATAAATTCCAAAATTGGGAATCTCTACAGCCGTGTTTACACTGCAAGCCAAAGTAATCGTGATACGTTTACACTGTTCACATTGACCTAGACCAACCACCGCAGTGGCTCCAGTATTTGTGATTTAGGTCAGACCAAACTTTTCTTTAAACTTTTCTCTAAAAACTGAGGCCAGTGTTGTTATACGGAGCTGAATGACGGTCGATGGGAAAAGAAAAAAGAGATGGAGGAAGATGTAATACGAGATGGATCCTAATGGGTTCGCTAATTAGCCATTCCGAAGTTGATGAGTGGGCTGGGGACGAGTGTTAAAAAGCGCCCAAATTAAGAAATGAACCAAATCACTAAAAAGACCACCTCAAAATTAGTAAGTATACAAAGTTTGAAGACGTTTACATGAATATACTTCGAATAATAAGCTTTCGGAAATCGTGATATTTACTATGAATTGTATTGTAATTTTTGTTTTTGGGACGCGCGTCCCAAAAACAATCTTTTAATCAGTAATTTCACATTTTCGAAAGCTTATTATTCGAAGAGTATTCATGTAAACGTCTTCAAACTTTGCATACTTACTAATTTTGAGGTGGTCTTTTTAGTTATTTGGTTCATTTCTTAATTTGGGCAACAGCTGGGCATTCTGTTGTCGCTGTCTAAATATTGCGGGCGCATTTCTTTAACAAACATTTTGATTCTTCGAACGCTGAAAATATGCATTGTGAGAGGATTTTTTGTCCTCTTTTATTGGTTTGTTCATGGAAAATAAAGTGTTTCTTGAAAGATTAAGTTGTAGTGCTTGTACGCAACGATATAACGACTTAATCTCGTGAAAACGTGCGAAGAATTTTTATTTACAAATGGGCGACAAGTGGAAATGTTTCACTCATTGTCAGAGTTTCAGAAGCAGGGTACAGCAGTATGGAAACAAGGAAGTGTTCATATCTTACTCTTGATAGAAGCTGAGTTGTTGTTATTTCCACAGGTATGTTCAATAATTTGTTTGTCCTTCCTCATCTGGAATAAGAAGTGTCTTAAAATACATATTTTGATGAAAATGACACATATTCCTCTTGCAATTTCGTAAAAACTGGCCGTTGCCTTCAGTTAGAAAATATATTTTATGAAAGTTAAATCATACTTTGTTTTATTAAAACCTGAGCTATTCATGGGAAAAATGTGCTAGATGTTGTAATTGACAAATCCACTTGTGAAGTGAAAATGTCATGTTGTCATGCTTATGAAATTGCTCCTGTATTGGTTTGTTATAAAGTAAAAATTGCTGCAAAAATGCTTTTGAAAATGTTCAAGTATTGGTTGTTATGAGATAGAAAATGCCGTATTGATTTGTTCAGTTTTAAGAGTCTAACGGCAATCCTGAATATAGGCATGCTTGCTTTGTGAAATTCTGTGGTGATATGGCATATAAATAAAAATATCTTAAAATTTTGCCCATTGCCTCTCTCCAAAATATGGCTTAAAACTATCCTTATTAGTCAACCTTCATGGAAAAGTTAGTGGGTATGCTGGGAAAAATGCGCATGAAGATGGTAACATTTGATGTTGTCATATATTGCCATCCTGTTATCATAGCATAACTTAACTTATTTTAGTGAGTTTGTTAATAAATTAAAGAGTTGTGCTCTTTATATGCCTGTAGTATCTAAGATTTTTTCATAGCATTATATGACAAATTTAAGTTCTATTTTCTTTTATTTTTAGGTGATAGTATCTGTTCACTTGAGTGTTGGTACCAATTTTTGGACAAGTTTCAATTATTATTTCACATTCCTTTAATCAAATATCCAAATAAATGGAATATGACATCAAGCTGGAGGACCAGATTCTGTTTCCAAACTTGTTTTTGTAAAAATAGAAAATAACAACTAATTCTGTGTTGTTCTAATAAAAACTATTGTTTTTGATATGCATATTTAATTTTTAAAATTACAGTCATTCTTTGTTAAAATGTGTACCAGGAATACTGAAATCTTTCAGATCAGCTACCAATTCCCTTTATAACTTATGTAGCCAAGTGTTCTATCTATTTTTGTTCAGATTAAACAAATGATGGGTAAAATATTAGTTTAGATTCTTTCAAAAAAAATGATGAGCTTGCCTATTTTGAAAGCATAAAAAGCAATAAAATAAAGCAAAAGTACTTATTTTTAATTTAAAACCTTTGGATTGCATAGCTTAATGTTTTCCATTAAATATTACAAAGTTTTCGTTCATTGAAATGTTGTTTTATCAGCTTTAAAACCAGATAAATCCACGAAGCACTCCTAATATTTGTCGCCATATTGATTTTTTCGCGCATGCTCCGTACAAAATGCCCAGCTGTTAATTTGGGCACTTTTAACACTCGTCCCCAGTCCTCTCATCAACTTCGGAATGGCAAATGAACAAGAAAAGTAATGAAGAGACAAGAAGAAGTGAAGAGAACAAGGCCGTCGGGGTATGGGCACGTACACGGGTAAAAATTGATCAGGTTGTTCGGCGTTGTTCAAACAGTAGCGAACAATGTTGTGCTGCACCCCATGAACAATATTGTTAACAAGTTGTTCAACCATCAGTACTGTTGCAAGTTGTTAACATGATTGTCAACAAGTTGCAACAATGTTGATGGTTCAACAACTTGTTAACAATATTGTTCACGGGGTGCAGCACAACATTGTTCGCTCCTGTTTTGAACAACTTGCATCAACATGATGATTTTTACGCGTGTAATACAAATTGGAGCGTGTTAGAGCATGGTCAGAGGTGTTGGGGATAACATTGAACAAAAGGGCAACAGTTGGAATTACAGTAAAGCGGAACAGAAGAAGGCAGAGGACGGAGTATAGAGATGAATGGATTACCACGACTGAGCAAAATGTGAAGGAAGTGACCAGGGGGAAGTGACGGTAAACATGACAATGAATAAAGAACAATAGATGACAAAGGTCGCAAACTCGAGAAGACAAACCCAGGTCAGTCTGGGACTAAAACTGAATAAAATAAGATAACGAAACTGTTAGTATAAATAGGGTAAATATGTTTTCCCAGCAATAACATTTCACAATTAGCATTTAATATATTAAATAGTTTTAGTCGATTGGATAGAGATACTTTGTGGCGTTTTTTATAGTGCATTCTTTATAAAAATGCCAATTAACTCTTGAAAAACATGTTGGCAGCCAGATTTTTCCCCATCAAATTTTTGTATCAGTCGCTGCATACGTTTGTTGATAGCGTGCGTGGTATAAATATCCGGGCGGACATTACCACCTGGCGAAAGCCGCGACGAGGGGATAATCCTCTTTTGAGCAAGTAAGTGAACCTTTAGAGCCATGGCTGAGCTTTGTACAATACTATAACGCATATTATTAAATAAATGTGATAAATCCATGCTCAACACTCTTCCTTTGTAAAGGGCTCATTGAGGCTTAAATTTATGATATCACCAAATGATGACCTAATGGTTTCCTTACTTTTTACTCGCTTTTTCTTCCTGTTGCGCTGTTGATAAGTTCTTTTCTCTCTCTACCTCTTGCTAGAAAATTGATTAAAACAATAATTGATAGAACTAAAAGTGAGCTCACCGCATCCTGGTAAAATATGATATGTTTCGCTACTCTGGTTTGATACGCAATGAATGTATAATCGCGATTAAATTACACTACGAAACCAGGGTGTTAGCTATCCCATATATACTGTCCGTTTGACGGACTCTTCCCAATTGAAGTAGCTGAGGGGCTTTCCCAACTGGGTCTACTGGACTTTCATTTTTCTGATGAGAAAGTGCATTGCGTTTGATTTTATATTATTAGATCAAAGAACGTTTTATTTACTTTTTCCCATTAATTATTTTCTCAAAATGTAATCGCGTTTCATTCATACTGGGTGTGTATTCACTGAAATGAAATGTACAAAACAAAGTGTAATCGGTGTGCATCCGTGTTCATTCACCGGAAATGAAATATACAAAACCAAGCTACCGTTGTTTGCATCTAAGGAGAAACACGTTGGGAAAAAAAACACTATTTATTCCTACACAAGGACTTTGATCGGTCAAAAAAACTTTCCCAATTTACGTTAACGGACAAAACTTTTTTTTCTGGCCAACACCCTGGAAACGTCGGAGACCATTAAAGGTAGTATTGGGTGAACGTGTAGTTGCTGTGGTTTGGGTTCTTAGGGACTTATAAAACAACACGTTTGTCCATTCCATGACGCTAATGGCTTTCTGGTACAGGTCTTTTCCGTCAGATTTTTATTCTTTTCACATGTCCAGCTACAGTATAAACTTATCCAACGATTATAATGTATTATGTGTATACTGACAGTGCATCCTGTGAGGCCCTGGTGACGAGGTTACTAGTAATGCGGACATCTTGCCAACAAACATTATAGTAACATCATGAGCCTTTCTCTAGTTCTTATTACCAACAATTGACAGACTAACAATTACCATAAGTAATTATACGTATTATAAGTATCATAAGTATTATACGTATTATATTATATTATATTATTATTATATTATATTATAAGTATCATAAGTATTATACGTGGGGGGTGTTGCGGATGAGGCGAAGCTTAACTGCGAAGGACGCAGCTCAATCTGATCGAGTAGAAAGCATTCTAAGGGAGCCTCTGGCCACCATATGATTCATGTCTGATCATGGAGTACAGCTACAGTGAAAGAGTCCGTTTGGGGCGAATCCATAGATTTACCATAATTATTGGGATAAGGGGATCCTTAAATAGGGTTTACCTCTGGATCTTGCAAGAACCTTGATATTGATTTTATCATAAGTACTTTGAATAAATTATTGATTGATTGAATCCCAACCCACTATGTCAATATTCTCTGTGGGTGGAAACCAGAGTACCCAGACTGACTGTTTTCACATAAGTGGCATAAGTCCGCCGAGAATCGATTAACCCACAATCTCAGAGGGGTGAAATGCACTTGCCCTGACTATCGTGCCACCGAACCCGATGACAACACATGCATGCGACTGTCTTTACCTCGATTCCCATCATGAATTTATCGAGCTCATCTTCCTCATCATCATCATCACCATCGTTAGATCCAATTGGTTTAGGTTCATACACCTCACTTTCTTCATCATTATATGGAGCTGCGTTGTTATCTTCATCACTGTCACTGTCATCACCAAAGTTCGCCCTAAAATTAGTCCAAAAAGCTCAAGTTTGCCCATAATCTAATCTTGAGCTTTGGGTTCCAGTTTTTAGGTAGCGATAAACGCGATTCACTAGAGACTGATCATCCGTCAAGATCCATCATCCATCTGACAGACAATATCCGTCTATTGCTCCTAAAGGTTAATTAATTTTGTGCACCTTTTATGTTAATATTTGTTTAAATATGTCAGTGTGTCACAGTAATGCGTGTTTGGGTCCCTAAATGGTACTTCAACCTTTTTTCCCTTCATCTACGTGAATATTTTTACATTTATAATATTTATAAAAAAAGTGCTCTGTTTCTGCCTTTCTGGATCAGTGGCTCAGAATGAGCCTTTCTCATGCCGCCATTTTTGGGTGGCAACCTTATTAAGAACAGGGATAGTGAAAATGAAACTTTCTATAACTATAGTTGTAAATATAATCATTATAAATCGATTTACAGACCACAGTTAAATATTTGAAAAATTATTTTCACATCACTTCGATTTTTCACGGTGTTTATAGACTCTTTATAAAATAGTATCCAAAAATGGCAGATTTAGACCTTCGTGAGAAAGGCTCGCGATTTTTGACCATGTGACACTACACATGTTTCTAGGGCTGAAGTCGCAGATTGACATGACTATGAGAAATGCGAATGGGAGAAAAAGGAGCCTGCAATTGACGTGGTCAATTTTTCCCCTTCCTTTGGAAATATTTTATATTATATATATACTGTTACTGAGTAAGTTGTTGTTGATATTGTGTAATTTTGTTAACCAAAAGTGGTTGTGAGGGGCCTGGGGAATGCTGGAAGTGGGGCACCTGGAAGTACAGTAGGGGAACTACATGGATGGGAGACCAAGGGGAAGGGAAACCAGGGGATAGGGAGACCAGGGTACCGGTATGGGTAGCGTGCATGTCAGGTTCTATGCTTTCAGAAATAGAGCCTGGACAGTCAATTTGGATGCACAGAAATAACAACCAATGAAAACGGCACTTGTTAATTAGATTACAAAGCTAATTTAAAACATGCAATAACGGTCAATTTTTCTGCCAACATCTCGAAAATAAATATATTCCAATTTTCATTAAACAGCCAGGAATTACATACTAAATAATAATAAAGGGTTATTAACCGAGAGCGAGGTCTGTACAGCAAAGTACAGTATTTGCCTGAGGTTTTCGTACAGACCGAGCGACGAAGGAGCGAGGTCTGTGCAGATAAACCGAAGGCAAATACTTTAATCCCGTACAGACTGAGCAAAACGAGGTTAATAAACCGTTTACTATATGGCTCCTTAAACACATTTTCTGATTTTCATTTATTTGTTTGAGCGCTATAAAGGTATTTTTGAGCTATGTTTTATTTGCTAGTTTTCTTCGTTTAGATTTGGTTTCGTCACCGAATATTGTTTACGGAAAAGCATGTTTAATTAACAATCGCTTTAGAACTACTTTTTCGGTAACCCCCACCCCCAGAAAAAATGCTCATAAACCCAGTTTATATGATATTTGTTTAGAATATGGTATTAAAGACGTTAAATTCATCGTTATTTATCTTTTGAAACAAGTAAACAAACCAAAAAGTTTCCCGCCAAAACTTACGGTTGCCAGTAAGAGTTCAAATGGCTTGTTTTCTTAGCTTTTTCGATGAAATATGTGTTGGTACAAGTACTTATTAATATTTCCAAGACTTCTTATTCTTAAAAATGATCCAACGATACTTTTTCTTCACAGGGTTTATTATAACGTGCAGTTCTACACAAAATGTGCAGTTCTAAACCCATTTGTGCAGTTCTTAAAACTCAAATGTGCAGTCACCAACTGCCAAAAATATAACCTCAAAACATTCTTCTCATTTACTCGTTTTCCTTGTGGATGCTCCAGATGCCAGAAATGCTGTCATTGAGCATCACAAATCTAAATGTTTTCTGGGAGAGGACCACCAGACCCTCATATTTTCCTCACAAATCACATACGTGCTGGGGGCAATGGAACAGGAGGTAAAATTGGTGCGAGCGAAGCTATCCAAAAGAGATTAGAGTGGGAGAACCTAACATTCTTTGCTACCTAAGGTTGGATTGGAAATTGGAAAACTTTATTTAAACAGGTTAGCCTCTTCACCTGAAAGCTGGTATTCATGAGGGACCAGGTTATTATATATTGAGTATTCATGATTCCCAGTTACATGTTTTGAAACAGTTTTTGTGGGTGGTTGGGAGAAACATACCTTTGCCAGAACTTACGAGCCTCTAAATTCAAAATCTGGGGGCACCCCCTACCTGTAGCTCCCCCACCCAGAATCGAGTTTGTCTGGCCCCACCCAACCAGTGGTGCCTAAATTACTTTGAATTTGTACTCGAGTAAAAGTAGAAGTAATTAACAATAAAACGACTTGAGTAAGAGTAAAAAGTACTGGAAGCAAAACGTACTTAAATAAAAAGTACAAAGTATCCTTAAAAAATGCTTGAAGTACAAAGTAAAAGTACAAGTACTATTGTCTGTAGCGTGTAGAGGGGGGGGGGGACTTCTCCAATGGATTGACATACAAAAGACACAAAACAGCACAAGCATTATATGCGTGCACCGAATATAGAATATTTCACGGCATGGTTTACTTTCCAGACCACGCTGAAGATATAAGAAATCCATTAAATAAATAATGCTTATCAGTAAGCCACAAACGAGAGATCCCAGACGCATGTAGAGGTCCTATTACCTATCCCAAAATTAAAATAAATCAGAAATAAATCACGTAAAATTAAACAAAAGTTAGAAAGTAACGAAATACTTCGCCACAAAATGAAAATAACGAAGTAAAACGTTACTTCTTAACGACTTCGTTCCAAGTAAAAGTACTGCAGAAAACGTTTACTTTGTTACATGCTCACTTCTCAAAAATAGTACTCAAGTACAGTAACGAAGTACATTTACTTCGTTACTTGACACCACTGCACCCAACCACAACTTTTTTTACCACCTATATATAAATTAAGAGTCTATCATAACTACAACGTTAACTATAAATTTACAACGTCAAATATAGATAAAAATCCTTTGACCCCCCAGTCAAACACCCTTTGACCCCCAGCCAAACATGTGATGCATCGTAGCATCCTTAATACGTGCAGTTCTAAATTTTTCTTAAAATAAACCCTGTTTCTTCACATGACGACCTTATAAACGTGTAAAAACGTATCAAATTCGAGCCTGTCAAATTGACATACGGGAAACCGGTCCGGATACGGGGAAATACGGACCACAGTCCGAATACGCATTTTTACGGACCGCACGTCGACCAATCAGAATCCAGGATTCTGCAAAGCCATATAATAAATATATGTTATTTACCGGATTGGAGGTCCGTATAGAGAAATATTTCTCGAGGTCTTAAAAACGGCCCGAGGCCGAAGGCCGAGGGACGTTTTTAAGACCGAGAGAAATATTTCTCTATACGGACCGACCATACCGGTAAATAATATTTTTATTTTTTTTAATTCCTCCTCTGAATTTCTCCAATCACTCCTCCCGCACGCGAATGAAGCTGCCAAATAAAACGTCGTTTCTATCAATGCTATCGGGAAGAGTAATATCTTTTGTGAGATAGTAAAGTTCGCTTTCACTGTGTTCTTCATCGTCTGCAGACATTTTAATATTTTAAAAAGTAGCCTTTAAACTCGTCTTTAAATTTTGAAAAATAAAAACATTGCCTCTACGGCTTTAAATCTCGCGCGGTCCGTACGGGCTCATACGGACCGCTCACGTAGCCAATCAGATTGCAGAAAAGCGTAAAATATGACTTCGGACCGCAAGAAAAAAAATAATAACAGTTATTGACCGTATTTATAGACAGCAAAGGCAGTAATTAATGCGACCAAAAGTACAATTACTAGTGCAGAATATAATATTAATATTATATTATGTAAATAACATCTTGATATATTACCTTATAGGGAAAGGCTATTTATTTCTGACCAATGGGAATTTTGCGTACGATTCATACGCATACATTTTTATTAACTTCAGTAGCAGGCTCTATTTCAAGCATAGAGCCTGACACACAGGCTAAGGTATGGGGAAAATGGAGATTAAGGGGGACCAGGTAGGACAGGTAGGTATAGTTGCAGGCCTTGCTCTAAGGGGCGCGCGCCCGCATGCGCCCAAGATTGCTTAAGCAAGTGATTCGTCACGTGCGCAAACTAAATATTTGTTCCAGAATGGAGCGAATTTGTTATAAAGTTATTCGCAATCTTTCGGGCTTTTACCACTTACTTTGGGCTAAACGAAGGAATATATGACTGTTTTGTGCTAGAAGTGCAAATGGCAAAGGTCCTGAAAGACAAACTCAGGAGCGGAGTTATAAAATAAATTTAAAAGTGGTGTTTCCATTATGAAAACTGTATTGTTCCATTTTTCATTCGTATTTATTGGAAATGAATTAGAAATGTAATTGCTTGTTGCAGAATGTGGAAACATCGAAACAATTTTGTTGTTTTTTATCCAAACGTTAAATATCTTCAACATTTCTACAAATCGAGTTTTTCTTTTATCTTTCAGGCAGTAATAAAGCCATTTAAAAGTTGCAGTAGATTAATTTTGAATATAATAGTTATTAAACAAAAGTTGACATTCAAAGAAAAGATCTGCCAGTCACAGACCTGCCAAGTCTTAATCGTGAGACTCACGATTTTTTATGCTTTCTCACAATCTCACGATTAAGTCCCCAAATCTCACGATTTTCAGAACTTTAAAAAATCATCGAAGAGCGCAACATCTAGTTACAATAAGGCACACTCTTCCAAGGAAACATCACACTTTATTAGTGTATTAATAATGCGCAATGTACAACGCCAGAATTTAGTATGTGTGATGTTTGTGTTACAAAGTAAAAGGCGCGTCCTGCTAAGTTTATTGTCCTGCTAGTCTTAATATTACTCGTAGTTTTCTTGTTTTTGTACAGATATTGCGTTATATCCCCAAGGAACTCGTACTGACACTGGGAGCTACTAAAGCCATAAAGAAAAAACAGCCTATTTTTAATAAGCCTTGCATTTACGGTTATATTAACAAAATATAAATGCGTACTATCATAAGATTGAATATCTATTGATTATTTTCTAGTGTTGTTAAAGTTAACCCTGGTCATATTAATGAGCAAATTAACCTGAAAATTTCTAAGTCTCGCGATTTTTCAGTCAATCTCACGACTTTTTAGATAGCAACTCACTATTTCTGCTACTCAAGGGTTGGCAGGTCTGCAGTCATGATGTTGTGATTTGTTATATTACATTTTGGGCGATATTTTTCTATCTTCTTGCATTATTTTGCAAATCCTTACACACTGCTTGAGTGCCTATTTTTTTGAAGGCAGTTAATGTTTTAATTTGTAAATCAACAAGATTATTTGCAAATTGTGTCATTTCTAGATATGTGGGGGGCCTCACAAAACAGTAGCTTCACAGTAGCGCGCGCAATGTATTTTGCACACGCGATTAACCGCTCCCGCGCAATTTTCTTAGGGCAAGGCCTGTAGTTGGGGGACCAGGGAGTGGGGGAAGGAAATGGGGGAACTAGAAAATAAAGAAACTGGGGAGTGGAGGGAAAGAGAGTGGGTGAATTGGGAAAAAAAACATTGGAGAGCACAGGGAATGGAATTGGGGGAGGTACATAGACAGGGTAAGGGATCATATCTATATTCAATATACAAAACATCAAATTGATGTTTTTATTTAAACACGCTCAGCCAGCCATGAAAACATCAAACACAGCATAGGTTATTATAACATAAATTTTTTTAAACATATATTCATTTTGCAATGGTGAAATTTGTGAAAACATCACAGAATAATACTTTTGACCCACCTGCACACCCAAAACATCGATTTGACATTTTGCATGGCAACTTGAACATGGATGTGACCCTTATGTTGGGTGCATTTAAAGGCTGGTTTTCATTAATCAGCAACACTCACCAATGTCGATTCTGTTTAACTGCCTATTGTAATTCATCAATCATCATCGAAAAATTTGTTTTGTTGCGACAGTCAGTGATCTAACATTCTGCAGCTGAGATATTGGGTGTACAATTTTGATGGTTTCTATATATTTACTATTAAATTTTCGAAATCTCGGCCGCGCAATTTCCAAACTTTCCAGTCAGGATGACCTCAATCTGAGAACATTGTATCAAATAAACGTCAATAATTCATTATTCAAATAGTGTTGACAGAAATAGAACTTCATAAAATTCAAGTTAACACTTACGGTCTTTTAAACGCGATATTTTCCTTGTGTCCAGGAGCTTTCTGTTTCACCGTACGTTGTGCAAAAGCTGGTACTGCAGGAGACGGATGCAGTGCTGGTTGTTTTGGCTTGCTACTCACTGTAAATCCTCCAAAACCAATACCTCGCGGCTTCTCTTTTGAGCCTTTGTGGTACATCTTACACAAATATTCCTTTCGACAAGTATTGTTAAATTCAAGTAGTGTTCAAAAAACATGAAATAAATTGTAATGAAATCATTGAAATGTGTTCGATTTGGAGTCCATATTGAATCTCGGGTGCAGGAGTACAGGACTGGTAACTAGTAGTGAAGAAAACAAAAATGGCCGACGCAAGCGAAGGAAAGAAATTTAGAGGTACTGTACTAGTGTACTTTTTATTCATATTCTATTAACATTATCAACTATAGTTACAGATTCCTTTAGTACTATACCTTACCTTTCATTACCGTTGTTGTTTTTTATGTGACTGATGTATTAAGGCAACTCAGATAGTGCCTGCCATTTTGGCAATTTGCATGGCGAAATAGGCCATGGGCCAGGGTGCATTCCATGCACGTTTTGCGGAAGATCTTCGGCGTGAGTTTTGAATTGCTGGCGCACAATCACGTCGAGGTTGGCGCACAAGTTTTCAGTTTTGGTGGTTGGCGCGCATCAAATGTTTAAGCGAGACTTTAATAATCGCCTGGTGATTGGATTGGCCTCTATAATTCTTTAGGGACTCGAGAAATTTGTGTTCCTGGTTGCATAGTTAATAGAATAGATGGTTTGGAAACTCATTAGTATAACAATACAACTCATTATCTATGTTAGTCAACGTTTATTCGTAAATACGGCCCTTCACCGTCACGTGTGTATTGTATCTTTGCCAAATCCACCAATAGCAATTTCCAATTTACCCTATTGTTCGAGTCACGGATAGGTAACTCTCCTAAAACATTGCTATTGGTTAATTTGACAAAAATGAAGTGTTGGTGAAGGACCAGATTTATGAATAAACGTTCACTAACATAGATAATGCGTTATATTGTTATTCTAATGAGTTTCCAAACCATCTATTCTATTAACTATGCTGGTTGTAATAGTATAGCTAAATGGTGGTTATATGTGGCGGAAACTAGGGGGGCAATCGCCCCCCCCCCCAAAAAAAAAAAAATTTTACTAGAATTATATTTAGCTAGATTTCATTTTGAAAAATGAAAGCACAATATAAGGAAGCATTATTTGTTACAATAACAACAACAACAACGAAATGGCAAGTTTTAATAAAAACAAGCTAAAAACAAGCTAAAGTATTCTAAATTTATAATCTGACAAGTCACACAATGAGCGTTATGAATTCTGAAAAAAAGTAAAATTAAATTAGTTTTGCGACTACAGGTTAAAAGGTGGTGAATTTTGGCTAAAACAGTGGCTTCTACAGTTAGTTGTCATTGCATGTACCAAATTTGAGGAACGTAACTAAAAATTCAGCACGCAGTGACAATTTTTCTGAAACAGGAATCTATCATATGATGTAACCATAATCGTGTCCAGTTACGTCAGTATATATAGGCCCTAAATTTATGATATACATGCATATATCATATGAGTATCTTCCGAGTGTTCATAAAACAATAGCAATTAATTGTATCAAATTTACAACGGACTATACAGTATCCATAGGTAGGAATGTTCAGGTGTTCTTTCACTTCTCTGGTTTAAATATTAGTATTACGTACTGCAAGTTCAGGTTACCGCGGTCGTTGCAACAGTTGTGTGATAACGCTTCTAGGCAGGTCGATTGACGTTGCTATGGTGTCGTTTGTGCAATAAAAATCTCATCACCATATAAGGTAATAGGACTGTTCAATAATGAACAATAGAACTGCGCATAGATTGATGAAATTTTGATACAGCGGATTTTGATTTAACGTTTCCAAGGTCACGCACTTAGCGAATAAATTTTACATTGCCATTGGTTATTAATTAAACCACCTTGCAATTCCATTCACAAATGTATTTTTGAAATCATCTACAATATTTTCTCTGAAACGTCGTTTTTTTATGCTTAGCACATGATTTATACCAGAATGCACCATTAACTAATGTTTTGAAAACCTGGAATTTCTTACAAAATGTGCTCTCAGAATGCTACAAATGCCATTTCAGGGATCCAAATTTTAAAAATTTTCTGGGGGGCATGTCCCCAGACCCCCCCTACAAATTTCGTGCCTTCGGCACTCGCCCCCCCCAAAAAAAAAAAAAAATTCGCAAAGTTTCCGCCACTGCTGAGTGAGTGAGGTTAACTTGTGATACAACAGTAACAACACTCATCATTGCTCGTCAGCAAAACATTTTATTCATCAGTTACACGCCTTTTTAGCAAGTTTAAATTTTAAGCAACTAACTATTAATGAAAATCATGGTGCCTGCGATCAGCCGGCGCATAAGTTGACCTCACTTGGCGCACGGTAACACTACCTCAGATTATCTTCGGCGTGAGGTTTACACGGAATGCACCCTGGGCCATGGGCCCACGGGCTACATATAAATATTACTTGTTTATGTATGATATTTGTGATGTTACTCTGAGTGTGTATCCACACCGGGCGAGCTTGAAAAATATGCCCGGCCACGGTGGGATTCGAACCTACGACCTTTGGAATACTAGCCCAATGCTCTTCCAACTGAGCTATGCGGTCAGGACGGTTCGAGTTCAAGCTCGCCCGGTGTGGATACACACTCAGAGTAACATCACAAATATCATATTCACCTGAGTACACAACACCAACACAGAAAAAATCATATTACAAGATTTCACTGGTATCGAAGAAACTAGATTCTGTTCCGAAATATCACTTACTCGAACCCCAGACCTTCCCCCCTCCAGACAGTGTGAGGAATTTGTACGTTTACTTGCCCCCATGGCCAGGCATTTGCAGTTGTGCGTTCACTCCAGGGCCATAGATTAAGTAAGGACAGATGTGTAACTTCAGTAAAAAAGTTGTCCCATGGTCGCCATCTTCCTTACAAGTGTCGTTCGCGTGATTATTCGTCATTTGGTAGTGCGTCATTGCCTTCAAAAATGTTTTCAACACCTTTTCTACAACTTTAATTGCTTTTAACAACTTTAAACATTCAACAAATGATGCTCTTTCAAGATTGTTTAATCCATAAATTTCGATCCAAGAAAGCCGCAATAAAATGCAAATGTTCATGTTTTCCAGGACGCAGTGCCGGATTAACCATATGGCAGAAGCGGCATATGCCACGGGTCCCGCGCTTTTGGGGGCCCCGCTTACTCTCTTCTATTTTTTCCAAATTTTTTTGTTCCATGTTTCAGTGCGAGACCCAAACAGTGCGGGGCCCTAAAGAGCCCAAGTCCCCCAGAAAACACGAGGGCCCCAAAATTTAAAAAGCGAGGCCCCATCAAGCTGGACCCAAACGTTTTTTTTTGTTCCCTGTTTCAGTGTTTCAGCGCGGGGCCCCAAAGAGCCCAAGGTCCTCAGAAAACGTCAGGCCCCAAAATTTAAAAATAGAGGTCCTAAATAGCCGGACCCGAAACGGTTTGTTTGTTTCCTGTTTCAGCGCAGGATCCAAACAGCGCGGGGCCCCAAAGAGTCCAAGGCCCCTAAAAGCGAAGCCCCCAAATAAAAAAACACGAGGCCCCAAAGTTTAAAAAGCGAGGCTCCAAAAGCAGGGCCGCAAACCGATTTTTTTTTTCTCCTTCTCTGGGCAAGGGGCTCCAAAGAGCGAAGCCAAAAATATCATGGGGGTCAGAAAATATCAAAATTTGCAGCAAACTGTTAATTAATACTAAAAGATTGCTGAATTTTGTGGAAGACGGCAGAAGTTCATATGGACAGTATCATGTTTAGCTATTTTACCCCTGTAAGTAATAATAATGTTAATTGAGTTAATGGTATAAACTGGGTTGAAATTCAGTTCGATCAAATTATTGATGTATAATTAGTTTTGTTTGTAAATACACAGGAAACCTTTCAACGCATGAAATACAAGAGGATATTTTTTAATCTTACTGAATTCAGAGTCTAAAATGCCGTTGGAAGGTTGGGGGGGGGGGGTAAAGGGGCCCCGCGCTGATAATATGCCAGGGGCCCCGCGGAACGTTAATCCGGCCCTGCCAGGACGCCATCTTCCTAGCAAGTGCAATGGCGTGAGCATGACGTGTACATCTAGGGAAATTTGAGGACACAAAGTCCTATTAAGTTACACATCAGGTATATACTTCAGCTGTGCCAGGGCTGAGCGATAAATTTCATCGACAGCGTGTCACTCTCCAATCTATCCCTGACTGGAAAGTTTGGAAATTGTACACTCAAGATTCCAAAAATTGAATAACAAATATATAGAAAGCATCAAAATTGCGTGCCGGATATCTTGTTGCGTGATATAAACTTTCCTCACTGGATTACTGCAAGGCATTTGTTGCTAGTTAATGGAGAAAAGATGTTAAAATTTAAGTTGCTTGAATATACAGGCGTACAAGAAAGGGGGCAGGGGGGGATATATATATATAAAAATATGTTAAATTCCGGTTATTTAATTACAATCTTCCATCAAAATTCGGGCCAACTTTCAACTGCCCCCCCCCCCCCAAAGCATCAGCTTCATACGCCTATGTTTGAATAAAGATGGCACAACACATGTGTAAGCATCAAGTTTCAGTAAATTCCCACTCACAATTTTGCATAAAAATTGAGTGGTTAAATAAAACATTTTACAATGAACTCACAATGTTACACGTTTTCCAAATGGGCAACAAACATTTGGGCCAATGTTCAAAAATTGGAGGAACATATAAATCCTAAAGGTGGAATAATGGGATTTCAACCAACCACTTCAAATCAGATGGTACAATATTTGCTCATTTTTTATTGCAATGATTGAATAAAGGTGCCCAATAACATATCAAAGTTGGATTATCTTTTCTTTATACCCTGTATCAAAATTCACCACTGCACTGAATGTATGTTTATTTCCAAATGATTGATTAGAAATGAAGATATCTAAGAAGGAATTAGCTGATGCAAAAGTTCCTCTTCATTTACGAGACTACTGTGCTCATCTTGTTGTTCCATTATTGGAGTGTCAAAAGAAAAATTATTATGTACCATGGAAGTGTAAACATGAACGCCATGATTGGGAAGTGTGCGAATATACTGAGTAAGTGGATTTGATTTGATGACTGCGGCAATTAAAGTTATAAATTAAATACCCTCTGCTCCTCTTACCCACATGGTGAAATTTGGGGCCCTAAGTTACATAATTATGTGCTCCTTAAGAGTTTGATTTCCATATTCTTGCACTTTAGGACATTAGGACAATAGCAAGATTATTCAGGGAGTACAGGGGCATTGTCCCCTGGGAAAATTATTTGAAATTTAGAGTCTCTAGAATAGCATTCCTGCATTCTGGGAGAATATTTAACTGTGGTTTCTATGCATATTTTACTTTATCCTTATTTGGGGCCGCCTTTAATCGGGGGCAAATCCCCCCCCCCCCCCTCTCTGCCACTGTTGTTTGGGTGTCCAAAAATTGCATTATTGGCATTTCAAAAATTGTTATTTCCTTTAAGAATCATGCATAAAATATGAATCTTTTCTTCACAAGTTTACGTGTAGGTAGTTTTAATATTATGCGAGCCAGGGTGCTAACCATGTGAGCCAAGGTGCGAGCCATGCAAATTGTATTTAAAATTATTTAAAATAGTTAACGAGTGAAATGGGAGACTGTCGATTAGTAAAAAATACACAAAATTCAGAAACGAACTATAATCAAGAACCCAATTTCAATTACAGGAATATTATAACTCAAATAAGTCAATTACAAATTACAAGATGTTTTAAGATCTAATGGACAACTTGCCTGTTAGACTAAATTTTGTAAAAATTCCGAAATTTGCGCTGTATATTTTTGCCAATGTACGTCTTTTCTTATTTGTTTGATACAGAAGAATTCTTGTACAGTTTAGTCCACTTTCAGCTGGCTGGAAAACCTTTTTCTGTTGTGGCTTGATTCAAATGAGGGAATAAATTCGTCTAATTCCTATGTGACTTACGCCAACCTCGTACCCAGGCTCTCTTCTCTATACTCCCTGCTGGAGGAAGAGACCCTGGTGAATGCTGGTCACGTGGCTCCAGATTTTGGGAGCCACAAATATGTTCCCTGGGAGGGGTGGTACTTTTCAATGTATGTAATTTGAGCTCGTAGTCTAGTAAAATCTGGGAGCCACGTGACCAGCATTTACCAAGGTCTCTTCCTCCAGCGAGGAGCGTAGAGAAGAGAGCCTGGGTATGAGGTTGGACTTACGCATGCACATCCTAGCATTATTCAGTTAATATATATTACTACAAGTAATATTATTGTTTCTCGTCCAACTTGGAAAAAACATGCTCAAGTGAGTTTTTCAAAGACTATCAAAATCGCACCAGTCCAGAGGACAAGTGCTTGTTTTTCAAATTGCACGAATGAACTGAATAATGATAGGACATGCATGCATAAGTCACATAGGAATTAGACGAATTTATTCCCTTATTTGAATCAAGCCACAACAGAAAAAGTTTTTCCAGCCAGCTGAAAGTGGACTAAACTGTACAAGAATTCTTCTGTATCAAACAAATAAGAAAAGACGTACATTGCCAAAAAAGATATATACTACAAATTTCGGAAATTTCTTCTTTTGGCACTGTAGCTATTTGGGAAAAAATGCACTCCTCTTAGCCAATCGGAATCAAGACATTTTTCGTGTATGTTATTAAATTAATCGTTTCTTTATTGCACATGTCTCACATTGCGTGGCTCGCACTGATCTGTGGTGGCGCAACATCGACATGACTCCCTGGCTCGCACTTTGTGTACACCCGATACTGTTTTGTGTGCCTAAGACCAAAAAAATTATTTGAAAATGTACCTGCAAATGGACAACTTGCATGTTAGACTAAATGTTAATCTAAGTAAAGAGAAGGGAATAAAACACAACAGTTAAAAAGAACATAATGAAATTAGTAAAATTGCAAAATGTGGTTGCGAAATGTTGTAAAATACAGAAAATATAGCCTTGCGAAGTTTGCATATTTTCAGTATATTTGTATTACGTGCGGAAATTGTTACCACTTTCGGCTCAAAAATGGTAACAATTTCCGCACGTAATACAAACATACTGAAAATACGCAAACTTCGCAAGGCTATATTTTCTGTATTTTACAACATTTCGTAACCAAATTTTGCAATTTTACTGATTTTAATAAGTTCTTTATGGGAATTTACTTTTTTTTGCCTAAATCAAAAATTCGTCTAACATGCAAGTTGTCTATTGTCTGCTTGAGAAAAGCGAAATCAAGATGTGATGAGCCATGAATAGAGAGCTCAAGATATGGTAATTCAACTATACGCGCACGTGACACAGAACATACGCTAAATTGACACTTTTCAGAAACACGGATAAAAAACAATAAATTATTTTTGTAAACAAACACGGATACAAAATTTGGATACAGATGAAAAACAGATTTAAACTGGTGGCAAATTCAAAAGTGAAACATAATAACTGTTTTTGGTCACGTCCATGTACTAAATTAAGCAGTTCAGTCCTTTACGACTTCACACATTTTCCAATTATATAATAACTAGAAGTTACTATCGCAAGGAAAATGCTGCCTCGCCCCCAAGGGATGAAAGGCAGAATGCGCAATTTGTTGAATAAGGGGCTGTTTGTATGATCTCGCTTTGCCGGGACGAGATATGAGGCAGGATGATTTCAATATATTGAAACCTGTTCAGTCCTTTATGACTTCACACATTTTCCAATTATATAATAATGACATATACAAGTTTTATTGACCGTAAAATATTTACAATGAAACTATTAAAAACAAATGTATATGTATATATATTACAAAAATAATTTAAAATTGAGTTCCACTCAAACATACTTAAAGTTAAATTTCAGGTGTGAAAAAAAGTACAAACTGCGTTTAAAAAGTATTTAGTTGGTCTTAATTTTTGCATATTATATAATAATAACGTAATAATAATAATTATTATATTTATCCAGGATATTATCACTACAATCAATAATAACGACTAAAGTAAACCAGAATCTAGTGGTCATACTCTAGAAATTTTAATTAACTTGCAAATACGCCAATTTCTCGAACTAATTTGCAAAATTTGTGTAAAGTATAGAGGCCTTTTAAGATCGAAATCGCAAACAGAGGTATTTTAAGGTCGAAATCTGTCGAGAAAATCTTATTTACAACAATATATTCTAGTGAACAGAGAGCAATAACACTACGCTTAGGCGAGCCAGCCCAGGTAATTGCGTTTATATATATGGAAAATTCCCAGCCCTGTCTCCGGAGATCTCATGTCAGTTGAGGCGGGATCTCACTCAGGAAGGCAAGCTCGCTTTTTAATTAAACACCAAATGAAATTTAGTAGGAAATCATAACAATCTCGCTTAAACTGGGCCAGTTCGGGTACCTGTGCTGGCTCGCCCCATATAAACAGACCCTAATTTGCTCTGTTTTGTTTGTTTCAGCTTTCTAATGCGACAAAGAGAATATAAGAAGCAAGCTAGCAAGTAGATGCCAATTTGACATTCAGCGAACAGGACACTCTTGCTACCTTGAGAAAAATACAAATTTAATTCCAAGTACAGTACAGGATAGTCTTCAGTTTATTTGTTAACTGTATATTTTTGTTATTTACTGTGAATATTAAAAGCTTATATGAGTGAAGTTAACTGGGTTTTTTCTCTACACAAGGACCAGCTGCGAGAGAGACTGGTTTTCGGACATACCAATTTTTCACTAACTTTCGAACTTACGAGTAACGTACCATAATTTGTACAATTTAAGTTTATCAAAATTTTTCCTACAACTATATCTTTTCAGTAGATTATTTCAATTTGTTTGCTCAATTACATATTCTTTGCCCGACGAGCTTGTCGTTAAAATTGTTAAAATTGCCCGACAAAACTGCAATTTCCTGAAACGCCCCCAGTAGTTACGGCTCAGTAACAGAAGGGCCACTCAGCGGTGCAACGTGTCCTCGTTTTTTTATGCAAAAATATGCAGTTTACTGGCCAGAAGGTGGAGCAGCCAGCCAGTACAGCGTGTTTATTGGCCAGAAAATGTCATTGAGTGGCTAGGAAAATGGCGGCCAACATGCGTAATGCGACATGCGCGAGGACACTTCAAAGCTTCCGACGTAAGTGGCCCTTCTATATGGATCTTTATTCTATGTCACAACAGCAGTTCAAACCACAATAACGGTGTAATATTTGTAGATAAGCTGCCAATAATACAATTGGCCTTAACATATCTGTCAATAGTGAATAGGACTCTAAAAGGAAACGCAGTTGTGTTTCGGTTATTTTCTGTTTAGTTGCAAATGCACGCAATTGGCAATTCCAGCTTTTAGTTTATGCGTGCAGGGGACCATGGGAAGTAAGGTATCACATAGCTTATTATGCTGAAAAAATAAAAATGGTACCCGTGTAAACACGGAGTGATAGTTTATACTTGTAAATATTGAAATATTTTGGTTGTTTCGGTAGTTTTTATTGAATTTTTTCAGCATATCAGCAATATGATACCTTACTTCCCATCATCCCCTGCAGGCATAAACTAAAAGCTGGAATTGCCTATTTAACGTTACTGCGGATTCAGGTAGACCGTGAAATGCGAATAGTTGTCGCGTTAGTTTTAACAGTTGTATACGATGACGTTTCTAGGCAGATTTTCGACGTTTCTAAGGCGTGGCTTCAACGTTTGTTTTTAAAATTTTAAAAATAAACGTTGAAGCCACGCCTTAGAAACGTCGAAAATCTGCCTAGAAACGTCATCGTACAACTGTTAAAACTAACGCGACAACTATTCGCATTTCACGGTCTACCTGAATCCGCAGGATGTAGTCGCTCATACGACTATGACAGGCTACTAATGTAGGTATAACTCAGTACATGCATGTAAAGTTGTGTTTGCCCATAATGAAACCCACGGCCACTTGGGCCCACCTATAATAACTGATTGTGCATTTGGATACATAAACAGCCAGGCTGCCACTCGCTTACACTTGAGGATTTTCATATCATAACACTACACTGTTTCAAGTTATTATTATATATTTACTATATATAGTTATGCTCCGACTAGATATTCGCTTTCTGGGCAACTATACCGGCCCCGCCTGGGAATGGGATTTGCAGAGGCAAACAATAATTTAATTTTCGACCACATCATAACAAATAATCTGCATATATAAGTTGCTTGTGACCTGCACCGAACGACTTAGCATAGCTTATATTCAGTTATGCAGATGTATTTACGTAAAAGTCCAAGTTGTGATTGGTTGGACCAGTGAATATATGCCAACAACGACTTAAAGCAACTTCAAAATAATGACTCAAAGCGACCTAAGTAAAACTTAAAATAATAGGCAGACTATTGGCACACATATAATTATAGTGATCTCTTTCTTTATGATACGATAACAGGTTGTTGGTTAAGCCTGTTTTCCACTTCAATCGTACCGAAACGTAGCGTATTTCTTTGTTTCCTGAGCGGCAGCAAACATACTCCAAAACAAAACAAAGCATACTCCATCAAAAGACGCATGTGGGATTGGCAAAGGCGCCATTCAAATGTCGACAATAATTTCTAAACAAATAAACTAACATACATGAAGATAAAAGCTAAAAGAAGCAGGGATGGATCCAGCATGATCTGGTAGCGAGGGGGGGGGGGGGCCAACTGCCGAGTTGTGTCGGTCATGTGTGCCGCCCGCCCATCAACTACTGTATTTGAATTGTAATTGTTGTTCACAGTTCACTTATCATCATGTTATTACTCAAATTACTGTATCTCACTTTGTCTTTTTTGCTTTATCATAAAAAATAGCACCTCCCCCTGCACCCCCTCTGGCTAGGGCTAGGTGCGCACCCCCCAGTAAATCCGTCCCTGAAAAGAAGTAGGACGTTAAAATGCCACCTCGCCGTGTACGAAGAAACACAGGACATTGTAGAGTCGCGGTCGTAGAAAGGAACTGTGGCAGTGTGGGTGCAGGTTGATGTCAAAGCAATTAGGTGATAAAATGATTGGAAAAGATGCCCTAATGTGTGCAGGAGGGCGTTCAATCGGGCTTCAACATTGCTCTCTTCCACTGACTCGTCAAAAGCAGCATTAATAATTCAACTGATAATTGATATAGAAATATTAAAGAAAAACACGTTACAAATTGCATTTATGTTAAGCATAGTAAGATTCACAATGACCATGTTGTCATTCATTTCGCCTTGCTTTATCGCGTATGATACGTTACATGATCAGGCTGCTCCATTTACTGTTCTAGAACATTTGGAACACTGTTCTGGAACGATATGAAATGGAGTGCACACGGTGTTCTGCATGGAACAGTGTTTATAGTTTATATATGCGTGCAACCATGCATTGCTATATTCATTAGTTATTCGCATAATAAAGCGTATAATGATTTGCTGTTATTTTGTCAATATTTGTATATCTTATATAAGTATGCTTTTGTAACGTTTTTACTCGTTGATTTCGCCGAACCCTGACGTTCGAATAGCGTATAATAAGTATATGTGATATAGCGGTTAACCCTTCAAAATAACACTCTATGCAGTGTGCATTGGATACACAAAATCTATCGTCTGCATTTCCAATCACGTGAAAATGGGCAGTATCACGTGTCTGTTCTGGCTGCCCCTACACACGTAAAAATCTCACAACTTGTCAACAAGATGTGTTCGCAACAGGCTTGTAGCAAGCTTGTCAACAAGTTGTAACTGAATGCTATTATTTTATCAAGTTGTTACAAGGTTGTCACTCACAACTTGTTGACAAATTGTTGAATTGCAGGACGATAACAAGTTGTTGGAACAACTTGTAACACGTCTGTTAGCTCAACAACCTTGTAGCAAGTTGTCAACAAGCGGTTGACAACTTGTCAACAAGCTGGGAACAAGCAGTGCGAACACATCCTGTTGACAAGTTGTTGGAACAGCATTGCTACAAGTCTGCTGCAGGTTTGTTACAACATGTGCGTTTTTACGTGTGTAGTCGAAAATCGGGGTAGTCAGAACATTTCAGAACAGTCATGTGACTGTCTTCTGTTCCATCCCTTATTGTTGCGAAAATCCGGAGTTCTCCGAACAGTAAAGCCTGCCGGACACGAGAGAAACTTGCTGAGCTAACCGCCTCGAGTGACAGCTAGCTTAGCTATGTATTTTCACCGCACACGAGAGAATCTTGCTGAGCTAACCGCCTCGAGTGACAGCTAGCTTAGCTATGTATTTTCACCGCACACGTTGGGAAAACTACACAACAACGACATAATTGACAAAATCAGTTTACATTTTCCTCCATTTTGTTCCAAGTCACATGACGAAACTATGGTTTCTCATTGGCTAATTGATTCAAGCAGCTTAATTAAAGCAAATTAACCACTAGTCATGCCATTCACCAAAGCAGTAAATTACGATTTGGCGTTTGAAGTTGACGTTTGGCGTATAAATGATTGAACTGCTACGAGGGCTTCTAGTCGTTAAAGCATGAAATTTATACGCCAAATGTCAACTTCAAACGCCACATCTTAAGTTTACTGCTTTGGTGAATACATGACCGAGTGGTTAATTTGCTTTCTTAAATTATTGCTAAAGAGCACAAGTTTAATGATTGTTTAACATATTTCAAAACTGGTGTAAAAGCTATTATAATAGAGTTGTAAAATCAAAAATTTCGCTAGCGGTTTGACGTTTGCCGTAAAAACGTCAATCTTAAGGTCTCTACTGATATTGGCTTTACGTTCGCTTATGTGCTTCCGTGCGGGTCAACTATTAGCATATATACACTAACATAACCAATCAGATCTTGGATTTTGACGAAACAACATTGCCGAGGGCGAGGTAAATACTGTACCCACAAAGCTATCCGCTTTCGTCCTTAGATGGCAGGTCAACTATTTGGACGTTATTAGAGAGTGTTGGGAATTATTTTCAGGTAATTATTTTCCAATAATAATTTATTTGCTTTATTTGCTTTTATGATTCAGGTTGCTTAGTTATTATAGAATCGACGGATGAAAGGCCTTACGGGAATCGTTTGAATATAGTGAGTTTTGTATCAAATCGGCACAATTTTATAACCGCGTCCGCATGTATTCGTCGTTTTAACGACGTTTTGGGAAAGAAAGTTTTAGTTTTCCATTGAAAAACCTATAAAGGGAAAGGAAGTTGCAGTTTCACTGCGTCTAGGGAAGAAAGTTATAGTTCCCTTGTTGACGCTAAGACGCGTACAAATCAAGCGTGACAAATTCATACGCCATACTACAAATGGTGAATATTTATTCATTTCTGTGAATATGACTGACCAGACAAACACCGAACAGTCTGTTGGTTTCACCACAGATAATACGACTGATTTAAAAGAGTCGGTGCATTTTTTAAGGATTCTTCAGTGGTGGGGTAAAACTGCCAAAGGGCCCATTTTCCCAACCTCGTTCCCAGGCTCTTTGCTCTTGTGAAGCACAACTCAAAGAGCATGGGAACGAGGTTGCCATTTTCCTTGTCCTTCCCCAGCATAGTATGCGATCGCCGAAAGTGTGAGCAGAGTACCGCAGGCACGAGTTAGCTAAAGGGGTTGAAGCTGAGGGCATGTCCCCCCCGGAAATTTTTAAAATTTGGGTCTCTGAAATAGCATTTCCTGCATTCTGAGAACACATTTAAAAAAATCTCAGCTTCTCAAAACAAAGTTTTAATGGTGAAATTTGTAATAAATTGCATGCTAAACATTCAAACATAACTACGTTTAAGTATGCTCACCAACAAAATTTTGTTTTTTAAACTTCTTTTCAATGTTGAACTCATTTACTCAATACAGGTCCTAGGGCCCTGGCTTTGGGGCAATAGACCATTTTTTTCTTCAGTGGTGGGGCAGAGGAAGGGGCCCAGTCCATGGTATTAAAAAATGCCTTGATTAAAGAGTTGATGGCTACAATGATGTCTGAAATGATGTCGGTCATGAAAGACGATATGCTCAGACTGTACCGCTCCCGAGCCTGAGGCAAACAATGACAATGTTGAGCCTGAAGGCCGTTTTCCAGTAGGCGGAATTTTCCGCGCGGAGCAGAATTTCTCTTTGTCTTTTCTAATTAGTTCCACCCGAGAAATCACAAGACAAAGAAAAATTCCGCTCCGCGTGGAAAATTCCGCCTAGTGGAAAACGGCCTTGAGGCAAATAGTGAAGGCATACTTCGAAACCCGGACTCAATGGGACTCGGACTCGGAAAAAATTCGGACGTCGTCTTTGAGAAACCCGGACTTGACTTTTGAAAACCCGGACTCGAAATATAAAAAAACGGATTCGAAACAAGGACTCTGTGTACGAGATTTTTGCAAAGGCTTTTTGCAAAGGTTTAATAATAGTTAACATGATAAACTACGGGCGCTTTCCATTAACACGGCCAGACCGGTCAGAACGGTCAAATTGTTGAATGGAACACAAAACGTTTGGGCTTCGGACCTATCTGACCAGAAAATTTAGATAACATTAGAATGAGGTCCATTTTCGCTAGATATTTGTGAAACATAGACCAGATCTTCCCATTGATGCAGAGACAAAAATTCTGGTCTGACCGGTCAGTCATTAAATGGAAAGCGCGCTATGATCTCTTTGCAACAATAATCAGTATACATCTTAAATTATCTGGCGTAGTGCTATAAACAGGGCCTTTCAGAGAAGGGGGGCAGAGGGGGCAATTTGCCCCGGGCCCCCAGAGTAAGGGGGCCCCCAAATTTGCAAAATAAAAAAATAATAATTTGGAACGTTTTTTGATATAAATAATGGTGTGAGAAAAAATTTTCTAAACCTAAATTTTGCAGATATTGGTCCGAAAAAAGGGTTTTACCCATGTTTTAACAAGAATTTGTCCCTAAATTTTTGTGAACCTTAACTTAACTTATGTTAGTCCGGAAACATTTTTTGACCTTTTTTTTATATGTCCGGAAAAAAATCTTCCCCCCCCCCCCCCCAGTCGCCAAAATGTTTGGGTAAATTTGCCCCGGTCCCCCGAATTTCTCTGATAGGCCGTGGCTATAAAGACTGAGAAGTCAATTCCATGATTCAGCGTTTCTATAAATTATTATTCCTTGCAATAACAGCTGGTGCCAAAGTGAACATCCTAAGTCCACGTATTGAGGGAGTTTTGTTTCCTAACGTTGTGAGTTTGATGGTCCGGACTTTTTCAACAAATTACAACTATGTGAACATTTGTTTTGGAGTCTTTAGTCTAAAGTGTCGAGTCTTTAGTCTAAAATATTGAATATTTGACAATGGTTTTGAACAACTTATAATTGTATACTGTATAGAGCGGTTTGCACTCATTCCCCAAGGACCAACTCAACAAAAGCCATGGCGGCCATGTTGGTGTTCCAGACAAAGGAATCTAATTAAAATTTTTTTAAATTGGAACACCATCATGGCGGCTGTGACGTCATGTGCAAACGCTCTATTGTCCGTTCGCTGTATATATCAGACGAAAATTCATGATGTGCTGTCTCAACCAATGAAAATTAGCTCGTTTGTTACGTGAACGGTTGTGATTAGTAGTGATTACTAACTTCTTATTAACCGAACGCGAGATCTGTACAGAGAATAATCGGACCGAGGTCCGATATTTCTCTGTACATACCAAGCAAGCGAGATTAATAAAAAGTTTATTATATGGTATTTATACTTGAAACGAACAAGAAATGCATGATTTGAAATGCATGTTAGTAGCGTGGTTCACATTTGGTCGAAGAAAACAAATACCAATGTATTCCTTCTTTTCCACTAAAAACCATCATATCTTATTAATAACAAATTAAATTATAATTTTCAATTAGTTTTGCTTTTTTGTTTTAAAATGCATGCGTTTGTTTTTACGTAATGGACCGCCGTCCACTACGGGTAAATAATGGACTGCTGAAAGTGCATCTCAGCCAATCGCAGTCCGCCATTTCACTGGAAGTGATGCTTGTCATGTAATAAAATCGTTTAATTAATATCAGACGAAAATTCATGAAGTGCTGTCTCTACCAATGAGCAGGCCAGTTTCTATGCGTTTCAACGAATAGATCGTTTGTTTAATGAGGCTATACGTTCGTTTGTGCATGTTAACTGGTGATAAGCAGGATAAAACGAGTTCGCAAGCGTGCACCATGACATAGCCCTAGGCATAGCCATAGATATAGGAGATCTAGATTGCTAACGCATACCTAGCGCAGGCGGGGCCTACATGATAAATCCAAAATGGCGGTACAACAGGGCAAAAAGACTATAGATTCTATTACGAAAATCAGGATTTTTGCATTTTTTGCCGTCGCATTGTTTTGAAACTTATTCGGTCAAATTTTATGGTAAAGAGAAACTTACCGCGAAGATTTTGAGCATATATATGATTGAATTGGATGAAAACTCGCAAAATTATCCAGCGATAAAAGTTCGTGTATAGTACTGATATAGTACTATATATGTAACTTGTACAGTTTTGCTTTAATTTTTGCTCACTATTTGCATAAAAAGCAAATTATAACAGACCATAGATGATAGACCCTCATCCAGTGCTCTCATCAGTTTACTTCTCTAACAAGCAAGGAGGGGGGTGGTGGGGGGGGGGATGGGTACATAACAGTTCATTTTTCATAATTATGAGGACAAAGCAGATGATGATGAGAGATGCAAGTATAAAACACCATTCACAAGGCTAGATGTTAACATAGCACAGTATTTCTGGCAATAAAACGCTCCAACTGACCAACTGACCATTTCACACGAACTTTTATCGCTGGATAATTTTGCGAGTTTTCATCCAATTCAATCATATATATGCTCAAAATCGTCGCGGTAAGTTTCTCTTTACCACAAAATTTGACCGAATAAGTTTCGAAACAATGCGACGGCAAAAAATGCAAAAATCCTGATTTTCGTAATAGAATCTATAGTCTTTTTGCCCTGTTGTACCGCCATTTTGGATTTATCATGTAGGCCCCGCCTGCGCTAGGTATGCGTTAGCAATCTAGATCTCCTATATCTATATGGGCATAGCGGACTACGCTGGACACCTAGAGCGCATGTCCAAACTGATCGGTTTGTTCCGCACTTGGACAAAGCAACCGTAATGGAAAACGAATTTTCCATGCTATAATGTTTCCCCTATAAAGTAGGGTGGTAAATGAATTAGCGAAATGCTCATTGTAAAGTATATATAAGAAATTGAAATGAATCAGCCGTAAAATCGTATGTAATAATAGACCCTAGCTAGCCCTAGGACTAGTTCGCTACACATGATTTCACAGTGTGTAATGCAATTTTTTCTACTCTAAAGCTAAAGTTTGTGCGAACCAAACAAATTCAGGGGTTAAACATTAAAATTATGGATGTTTTGCTTATTATCACGAGTTCAGATTTATTAATTGAACATATACTTATTGGCTTAACCTCGTTACCTCGTTGTAAAACGATATCAGGGGAACCTGTTATAATTTCTTGTGTTCCTTTGTTGTCTTCAAGTCTCTGCAGCGTAAACAATCTAGCACTAGTGCTCATTATGAAACGTACCAATAACAGTAAGAAACGAATGAAATGATAAACAACAAAAGCAACCTGTTCATGAATGAAAACATTGAAACGGACACGTTTTGAAAAATGCCACAATAGTCGTTCCACTTCAGAGGTTCACGACCGCACAAGGTATAACAAGGCTAGCAGTAAGTGTAGCAATTTTTATATTCCATCCTTTTTTTAGTTTTCCAGAGTTGTGTATGTTTTAGATCATAGGCTAATATCAGTTCTCTGTAAGTGATATCCATTATAAAGAAACCTTAGTGAAAAACATTTTTTGTTTTAAATTGTGGCTTGTTGCTTGCATGTGGTCTAGTATAGACAATAGGTGATCTTGAAAGGCGCACTTGGCAATATTGTAAGTTGATTTTTACATATGCTATTCAACGATTTACTTTTATTATATGATTGCATAGCTCGTAAAGTACTATATATAGTAATATTTTGTGATTGGACATAAGGTCCATAAGCGCGGTAAGACGTTTAGACATTTTTAAAGTTCAGGAAAATAGTATTGTTTCGTTTTAAAAACAGGTTGCATTTGAATGCAAAAGAATTTTTATTTCTAGATGCAGTTGTTCAGTCATCTAGTATAGGTTGCTCTTTGTAATTTTGATACTGTTATTAATGATTTACGCGACATGGTCAGCAATATCACAAACATGGCCATCAAGACATATATAAGCTCAAACCCAAAAGCTAAAATTATAAAATATTATTTAAAAAATTTCAGTTGCATAACTAAGTTATCGATTCATATACCTGGCTTATACTCTAATTTCTTCTTATTTGTCTTTATAGGAAAATGGAGCACAGAATTTCAAATTGCGTCTTTGTCCTTTTAGTTTTGGTAACATGCGCATGCACTCGAAAGATTGGTGAGTACTTTAATTTAAAACCTTATAGTTGGAGACTTGCATGGAGTCACAATATAATGGTAGTAAAATACTACGAAGTCATGAAGCCATGATTGAAATTTCATTCACTTGTAAAGTAGCCTTAAATCAAATGCTTCGCGTTTCTGAAGTGCTTCGCTTTGGCTAGAGTCGGTGGTGATTTTCCCGTCAAGCAAAGGATTCGTATACGCGATGAGGGCGCATGTGTCGTTGCAGTGCCTTGTGATATGCAACCTCCTGATTGTTTATACGCAATGCCTACAGTATTAAATTGTCAACATGAGATTTTCAAAAAAGTTAGATTAATAGGGTTAGATTTTCAAAAAACGTTAGCTTAATTAAGGTTAGAGGTTAGGGGTTAGAGTTGGGGTTAGGTGCCGCGAATTTATCATATTGATAAATTCGGACGTGTTTAACAATTTACTCATGTAGTAAGTTCAAAGGTGAAGCTCGTGCTGTAAATTATTGTCCTTTAACACCGTTCTCAGTTTTCATGCTCTTCAAATTTTCAGTAGTGACTTCCCAAACCCCATGTAATAATTGCCAAAACCGCAGAAAAAAAACTATCTAAAATCCCAATAAATTTCGATCAAAACCGAAAACCGCAACACATTCCTTCAAAGTAATAGCCGGATCTTAAGCAAGAAGGACGCCAATGCGACGACGACGGCTATTCACACAATGATATCCCTGTCTCATAGAAAGGAAATGAATAATTAAAAGCCTGGAAGGATTTGGAGAAGTTGTGTTAGCGCTTTTTACAACGGCGAACCAGAGATTTTCACGTCTCTTGTACAACGTTTCAAGCCGCGACAAGCACTGGTACTACAAATTTGCCCAGCGTGCAGGACGGTGAATGTAAAAGGCGGAATGGCCTGTGGAATGGATTGCGGAACGACTGAAAAATGATGTAAATTTCGCGATATTTTTACGTGACAATTTTTGCGCGAGGCAGGCAGATGCGAATGAGCGAATCGAATTTTAGAGTAAAGAAATCGTTACAACAATTTAGTATCTGACTCTATAATTACACATTCTCTTCGTTTTTACAGAAAAACGTCATTACCATTACCATTACCCTGCAGATTTAAGTCCGTTACCCCCGGCTCCTCCAGGGCCACCAGGTCCAGATGGACCACCAGGATTTGGTGGACCTCCAGGACAGGACGGTCCCAAGGGACCACAAGGCCCACAAGGACCACAGGGTCCTCAAGGTCCACCTGGTCCCCCGGGAATGCCAGCTATTCCGGCCGGACGTCGTAATGCAATGCCTTTACCAGCCCGATTCCCTCGCCCACCGCCAATATACGGACCCCCTGGTCCTCCAGGCAGACCAGGACCCCCCGGACCACCTGGACGTCGAGGAGGACAAGGAGCACGTGGTGGGAAAGGACATGCCGGGTTTCCTGGAAAATAAAAGGCCAAAATATCCTGGCAACGTTTGTAGCATATCTATATAGTGTTCATGGAATTGTCATCATGCCATTTTTAATTCAGAGAAAAACAAGCAAAACAAGGATTTCATATCTGGCCTCAGTAATACAAAGCGGAAGAGACTTCAAATATTAATCAAGCCTGTAACTTTTTTCTTAATTAAATCACAGGATTTGTTATTTTAATATAAAATTCTTATTGTTTATGCTGTGAATGTACTTTTTATATATTCAAATGATATATCAAAATAAATCAAAGTGTTTTCCATATTTATTGGGACTCGACCAAATGTCCCACATTTATTGGGACTCGATCAATGGTAACCCGGATTAATTAAATCCTTGGTCAAACATATGCTCAAGGTCTTAAAATAACTAAGAAAAATTAAGAGCTTGACATCAGTAAATGGTTAGCCTTTCACGTCTTCTCGGATAAGGAAGTTAATCGTAGGTACCTTGGATTCCCTATCAATTGGGGTTGTATGGGAAATCCTCTCACCAATGGGTGAGAAACCCAATAGACTCAATACATAATTTTTACGAAAAATAATTTAAACATGTATTTTTGTGGTTTGTGTGGGCAGCTAAGGTGGTTAATTAACTAAAGCAGCTAGTAAAGATCAGTAAAGTGAATACTAAGTTTGCACTCTAGCTATATTGAAATTATCTGAAGATATCCATTAATTGCATGGTCAGCAAGTTCAAACATTCCAGACGATCGTAATCAAACATGCTGGCAATTCTTCAATTCCTGCCAAACATTTTTCCTAGCTTTCTGATTATGAATTTAAGTCTGAAATTTATAAGTCGGAAATCTGGTAATAAGTTTGGTTTCAGCGCGCCTGTTGCATGAGAATGGTGTGGAAAGTGATAGGCTCACTAGTGCTGTCACTCTTACCATAGACATTCAAAGGAATTTTACTGTAATTGTCACTCTTACCATAGACATTCAGGAGGACATTCCTTTGAATGTCTATACTCTTACTCACACAGTGGCGTGGCAACCATTGGTGCAGCGTTTCCACTTGGAAGGAAATTTCCTTCCAGAAGGAAATTTGAGCCTTTGGAAGGAATTTTGGAAGGAAATATTGTTATAAGGAGGGAAAAGAGAAGGAAATTTTATTTTATAATTTCTAAGAATAATTAAGCAATTTTCACACAAATTTGTGCAAAAAATGCCGTAAATGCACTAATGCAGTCCTGGAGCATCTAGGACAGGACCCCAGAATCCCTATATTGAAATATCAACCCAACCTCGTACCCAGGGGCCGGTTGTTCGAAGCCCGTTTAGCTTAAACGGTGGATAAGTCAAAATTAAAGAACAGATTCACACATTTGATAAATGCCGACTGAACTTAGATAGATAGATAGATAGATAGTTTATTAAGTTTAAAATTTTACAGCTCCCAATACAACCACAGCTGAATTATACATAAACTTTACAATCATGACTAATTAAATATATCTATTTTAAAAATTTGATTAAAACTATGAAAAATGTATCTGTCCTAAATTAGTTTGTTTTAATTTATTATTGCGCAACACTACAATTGGGTTTATATGTATTGTTCCCTTACATTTGCCATAATAAAACTGTTTTGGAATCTGTTCGTTTTACACACTGGATAGTTAAACATGTTCTTACGTCTCAAATTCATACTAGATCTATTTTTCTCTGGTAACAGTGCATGCAGTTTATGAGATGTATTTTGAACAATATCGTTGAACAGTTTTTTCGTTAGAGTATCTCTTCTGCTGTACAAGGAGTCCAAACCAGCTTGCTCTAACGCATCACAATATGGTATGTGTGGGAAAATGATACCGAGTGCTCGTTTTTGTAGTTTTTCCAAGTCATCAGATAGATATTTAGTGAGAGAATTATGGAAAACGTGACAGGCATATTCTGTTACTGGACGCACGCAAGTTAAGTAGAATAGCAGCATCTCTTTCGTTGCAAGGCCAGCTCGTTTAAGTTGTTTAAGAAAGTACAGTCTAGTTGACACTTTTCGTACGATCTCAGAAATGTGCGTATTCCACTTAAGATCATTTGAGATGTTAAGACCTAATAGCCTTACCGATGTAACTACTTCAATGTCTTTGTCATTAATGCGAATAGGGGCAAAATCTGGCTTAAACTTCGCGAAAGATATGCGTAATTGCACTTCGTTTCATTTAACTGAAATTTGTTAGCTAAGGACTGGTTCGACAGATCTTCGACGTACTCTTGCATGGCACTTGCATCATTCTTCAACACAGTTTCTGCAACCGTTGTATCGTCAACATACTTCCACTGGTCAACATCTGCTACACCAACAGTGTTTATCATAATCAGATAAAGCCATGGACCAAGTTTAGTTCCTTGGGGAACACCGGCTGGAACAGTTCCCCATTCTGAGTAGTAATCGTTGCTCAGTTTCACCCTTTGTTTACGATCCGTCAGGAAATCGAGTATCCAGCACACAATGCACGGCGGAAGGTCATAGTTGGAGAGCTTTCGTTTAAGGATGTTATGGTGGATCAAGTCAAAGGCTTTTTTAAAATCGAATAAGACCACTCTAACGGATGATCCAGACCCATCCGTAGCTTTATTCCAACAGTGAAGCATACTAATTAGCGCTTGTGTTGTAGATGATTTTGGAACAGTTCCAAA